AAAGAGTGCAGAGACATAAGCGTTGTTCTGATCTGCTCATGCCGACATTAGCTCTGGAGAAGACTAACCCTTTCAAGACCTCTAATTTCAAAAGGTTTATGACAATATGCACCCTATTAAACATGGGCACACATCTGCTAACTGCACACAACATTGACTGACTATTCCTTTCAGTACACTCTCCCCTGTAGAAATACAGGACATTTCTATAAGCAGAATTCCTATCTTCTTTTAAGCAATTTCTTCCTCACCCCATCATGGCCATTCATTGTGATAAGATTTTCCGTTCTTCTTCCTTTCCTTCCGCTCTTTCTGCAGACGTTCTAGTTCAGCTTCATACATCATTTCCTGAATCAGGTACTTTTCTCTCCTCATCCTATCTCTCAGATCTTTTGGGAGATCTGGGATTAAGTAGGAAATCAGGTGCTTTATGCAAAAGACAAGGTGCTGTGAAAACAAAAAAAGGATGAAAAATGAAAATCTTAGGAAGAAAATAAGCATTTTCTGTATCTTCTGAAGATCCTCTCCTTCCAATTCACAAAAAGATGCTGTGTTAGGACTAAATCCATTACTAAATTTGAGGAAACCAAACCAGGAAATATTTTCCCCACAAAAACTCCAGCCAAAGTCAGTGGAGTATGGATCACAGCAAAGGTTATGAGCAGCTGGGTTCCAACAAGGCCTCAAACCTGTTGTATGACCTTTCTGTTCAAACCCCTGAGGTGATGATTTGATGTAAGGTTGTTTGGGCAGGGTCTGGTATTAGTGGATTGCTCTGCAGGAAGAGGAGGGTCAAATGAGGTAATACTTTCCTATTTCCAGAAAACCCTTGTATCAGTGTCGGAGACAATGGATTACCTATGCAAAACAAAACATTTTTTCTTATACTGTGTCCCTCATCCAAAGACATATTCCCATTTACTAAACATCACAATTAAATACAAGGATCCTTTATCCCTCATGTTTTAGGCATGCCACAGCAAAGCTTGAGTGTGATGGGGGAGGATTGCTTGAGTGTCCTTTTTTGTTTGAGCAAAAATGCTGCTTGGAGATTTAATCACTCCACTTGAGAGGAGGAGCAGAGAAACAGAAAAATCCTCCATCTCAGAAAGGACATTAAATCCAGATTGGAGAAATGAAGTTATTTCTTCTACTCCAGGTGGAAACCGTCCTTTGAAAGGCACTGAAAATGTAACAAGTTTTCCCATTTGTTCTTCCTTCATGTGAAATAAACCTGCAATATTTTAATTGTTGGGTTTTTTTGCCAAACCTAAAAAAAGAAAAACAGCTTCTGTCAGCATTGTAACTGAATGCTCAGTTTAGCCTGGTCAAATAATTCCTTTGGAAGTGATAGAAAATACTTGTCTGTGTTTTTTGAGGGAGGTCAAGATAGCCAAAATAACCACACCCACTTGCCCAGTGACAAAAAGGTATCTGAGCTTGGGTATTACTTAATTTGAGAAAAAACCTACCTTGAATCACTTATCTCTTAGCACAATTTTTTGCTGTAATTGTTGTAGCAATCACAATACACACCCATTAGTGTTCTCCACACAGACAGTCATGGTTTCTGCTACAATTACTTTTTTGTTTTCATAGATATAGTTAAGGAAACAGTTTGCAGTGCCAATGAACAGTGGCCTCTGTTGAGGGAGACAGCTATAAGCCAGCCTATGGATTTGGGTGGGGCAAAGCAAAGTCAATTCTCTTGTGCAAGTATTGGGCAGACACAAGAAGCTATGCCACAGCACAAATTGGTCTGGGCACTGAGACTTCAGCAGGGCTTATTTTTCTTGCCTCCGTTATCTTTATTGTGTGTGTGTGTTCATGAACTTTATGCCAATAATTTATGGTGATTACAGCTTCCATATCTGTGTTTGATGCCCTGGTGCTGTGATTCCAGAGCAGAGGACTGAGTAATGACTTTTTAAAAGTAATTTTCTCCTTGTTTGGCTTCTTCGCAGTGTAAAAGGTATTTCAAACTGCTTGTGCTGGAGAGATGCTGAGCCCCTGGTTTCTGGCAGGGATATTCAGGCACCTGAAATTCAAGCCTTAAGAACTGAATTTTGTTTTGTAAATTCTGTCATCCTATTTATCTACCTTCCTGTCTCTCTTTTTCAAAACCAGCATGGGAATACCAGTTGTGTGAAGCTGGTATTATCTTCTCTGGTTTCTCTGAAAGATTTCTGAGGTACTGACAGTAAGTACTAATATTATGAACATTTGCAAAGGTATTGAATCCTTTTCATCATCATCATCTTTGTGATTCTAATCATTCTGGGGAAATGAATGGTGTTAAAAAATAAGAGAAAAAAGATAGATGTGTAAATACTATAACTTAAACTACCTTAATTTTTCAGTTGTTCAGATTTCATCTTTTCTTCTCGTGTTCCTTCCCCACTTCCTCACACACTGATCAGCATGCAGCTTTCCAGCCTAGCCAGCATACGAATGCCAAAACTCAGAAAGTAAATAAAAGCTTTATTTATTTCCCCTATGTGCAAGTCACTGTTAGGGCTTTCAAAGTGCTGCATTCCTCTTTTTGTTAAGACCCAAATACCTGTGACTGTTCAGAAAATGGATCTGAGAATACAAGGCACAAAATACATAGTAGAAACAACATGAAAATCTCAACAGTTGCCATCACAGATCGTTGGAATTAAAAAGCTTCAAAGGGAAATTTGTTTCGTTTTGTTGTTTTCGTTAAAACAGAGAAACAGACACACTTGCCACCTGAATGGTCACTGACCTCAAATACGATAATGAAAGCCAACCGTGCTGCTAAGACATGCCAGAACTGCAGCGTGTAACCATAGGGCACTGGGGAGTGGGGAGGGTCTCGGTAGTCCCTGTACCTGAAAGACAAGCAGAGTGGGGTACTTAGTAACTCCTGCCCTGCTTCCTGAGAGGAAGGCAAAACCAAAACCCAGCTGCTCTTGATCATTCCATTTTCTGCAGCAAAATGATCTCAGTTCAGACTGTACAAATTACCATGACATTGCTTGCTTCTTTGGCTGGGCCTACACTAGTGTTTTATTTCAGATGAGATGCCTGCTTTTGAAGTGTCCTGATCACCTCTACTTGCCATGCTTTGGTTCACCCAAATGGATTTACTTTCAGATGAAACCTAATGGTAAGATGCACTCCAGGAGTACCTTTCATGCTCCAGCTGCTAATGGAAATTCAGTACAAAGGACCAGGCTGGTGCCTGCATGAAGCGAAGCTGCTGAAGCAAATGCAGAGGATGTTGGGTGCTCAGCACCAAGTGGTTTGACCCTACAGCAGCTCCCTTGGCAGTGCAATATGTGCCTTGCAGGCACCTTCCCAAAACATGGAGCAGGGTGAGATGCTGTCCTGGGTTAAGCTGAGACAGAGTTAACTTTCTTCATAACAGCTATCAAGAGGCTGTGTTTTGGATTTGTGCTCAGAAGAAAGCTGATAAAAAGTGATGTTTATGTGGCTGCCAAGGTCTTTCAGCTTCTCTGGCTGTCTGCAGACTGGAGCAGCTGGGAGGGAGCACAGCCCCAGTTACTAGCCCAGGATTTGATCTTAGGTTTGGGATTGAGACCCAAAGTGGTCAATAATCTATTCCACAACATACACGTCATGCCCAGTGTATAGGTGAGGACCCTCCAGAAATCGGCCCTTTTTCGTTCCAGATCTCTTTTGCTCTGGGTCATCTCGCTCCAGGTGGTCCCTCTCCCAAGGCCTTTCCCCGCCCCCATCCCGGTCAGCTCTCAGACTGGGACACTTGGACTGTTATCTGCGTCCTGTGAGTACGGTTTCGGGACTCTCCCTGCTTTGGGATCATTGGCAGGGAAGAGGCTGAGCCTTGGTCATCGGGTGGGGGGGCAGTATCACTGTGTATCACTCATTTGTATATTTGTATATACTATTATTTTCAATATTATTGTAGTTTAGTTATTAAATTGTTCTTATGTCAACGCATGAGACCTTTTTTCTCTTTACCCCTTTAATTCTCTCCCCTATCCTCGGCTGTGGGGGGGTTAATTGCATGAGTGGGTGTGTGGTTTGGCCCCCAGCCAAGGGCAAACCCATCACAGATGCTCTGCTGTTTTGAGGGCCACTTTCTTCCATAAATGTCCCCAATGTTGTCAGCCTGACAGTCCTCCCAAAATCCACAGAAAACTGCCTCATGGGCTCCATCTGGCCCTTGGTCAATTAGCTGTCCGTCCCTGGAGTAAAGCATGACTCAGCCTGACTTCAGTGGAGCCAGAACTGCGGGGGCAAGGGGTGTGTCTTGTCTTGCAGAATGTTTCTTTGAAGACTTCAGGTCTCAATAAAGTAACTAGAGATATCTATTGGGAAAGCTGGATCCAGGAAGGCTCCAAAACTACATTAACGAATCATGAATCTGTTTAAGTCATGCATTCGGGAGTCCATTTCTACTAGCAGTATGTTAATTCCAAAACACTATTGTAGAAACATAGTTTAAAAGCAGTGTAAAAATTGTTTTCTCTTTAATCCGTTTCCTAGACGGGACAGAAAACCCATTTAAAAAAATATTGAAAGTGCCATAGTAAATAATACACTTAAGCTTGACCTCTAAGTTAGTTTTAAGAAAATAAAGAAAACTCAGATGAGCAAAAGAAATAAACAGTTATTTCATCTCTATGATAATCTGCATTACTCCCTGAAGGTTCACCTTCATAGATTGCAGAGGGTGCTACACAAAATGAATTAAACTGTGTCTTGACATCTTAGTCAGCAACAGGCCTCTATTAAATTGCAGTGTCTCTTGTGCAAATTCTTAAAACTGAGATGATCTTCCCTTCTGCAAGCAGCATGCTGACTTCATAGTTTAGGATGCTTCACAATATCCTAAGCGTCCTGAAAACAGAAGGTCCTGGACTAAGTTCCAAGTCATGAGAATGTGTCTCCTTTTTGTACTTGCTAGGAACTAAGTGTGAAGAAATGAGGAAACCTTTTATAAACAACCAGAATAGCATGGCACCATCCAGGTTCCAGATGAGCAGAAGTTAACTGAATAGGGCTACTGTTTTTTTTGTTCAGACAGAATGCCTTTCTGGAAAAATGCCTAAACCGTTGCACAGTAGAGCATGTATTTCCTTGCTTCACTATCAATATCTGGTTTGAAGTGCAATTAAAATGACTGATGTTTTACCAGAATTCAGGAGGGTTAAGTAGGTGATAAACTCAGCTAAAGAAAGTAAGACGTTCCTTTTCTTTCAAGGGTAGATATACATAACAATTCAGTGTCCCCCAAAAGAACAGATTTATCTTCTGGAGATTTATGGCACCAATTTAATAGTGTTCTGTTTATGGAATACCGAGGGGACAATTTTTTTTATTGATGGGATTTTCACCATTGGCTTTAAGTAGCAGCAACCTCGTGCTTGAAATTTGGGAAGAAAGGAATTAAAGAGGGGGAAGAGAATTATCAGAATTATAAAACATTATTAAATGGTGCTATGGCAAACAATGTGTAATAGAGTATTCTCGGAGTGGTTCTGCTCCGCAGAAAATGTTATCTATGGATTCAACATTGGGATGTTCTTTCTGTCAAATAAGTTGCAACAATCTTAAATATCAGTTAGTTGAACAAAAGCATTAATGCCACCCCCTTCGTTCATTATGCTCTACCCCTCAAACTTATATTAATAAAAATGCCACAATATCACAAACTATCACCGACTTTTGCTGTATCACACAATATCTTTCGTTCTTTAGGCACTCATTAAAGGACATTTTGATTCTTCACAGTGAAAAATACTGGATCTGAGTGTATCTGCAGTTATTAGGACTCATGCTTGTAAACCAATGTTGCAATAAAAGATTAATAGCTGTATATTTTGGTTGGTATTTTTGGTTGGGACCTCATTTAAGACCTTTATGTAAATCCTTGATTCTTTGGACCATTAAATTCAATCAGGTGCAAATCTGTCATTACAGACTAGTCTCAGACAGCTATTTCTCCAATCTGTTGGCTGAGGACAAAGACATACTGATCATTAACTGCTCGTTTTATTTTTATTCAAACCACAAGTATATGATTATTACTAATGATCACACCTGTAAGCGTGACATAAACATATTAATCATTCGGCAATTAAGAAGTGCTGGATTTGAGATCTTGTAAAGGTAGCTTAGGACAGACCCTGTTTATGCCTGGCAGACCTGTGAAATAACTCATTGTGGTCACTTCTGTGCAACCTCGACTTCCCTGTGCATGTGCTATGATATAATCTGATTATAGTTTCATCTCACTGGTACTTAACTAATCAGTCACCTATCATTGGCCCTTTGACACCATATTTCCCCGTGACGGTTCTGTCTGATTCAGCCATGACACCATAGAAATCCTGCGTTAGGAACACTTGACAGATATCCACTTTTCAGCTTCTCCCATGTCTAAGGAAGGAATCATGCAGGTGACAGCCAAGCAGTACCATAAGCATGTCCCTGAAGAGTACAGTTAATTCTTTCCATTACTGTTTTTTAAGTCCTGAAAATTAGTTCCAACCCAAAATTTATAATGATGCTTCTCCCTTTCAGTGTCTTAAAGCAGAGAGGTATTTTCATTAGATACTTACCTGCAATATTTCAATGGTGAACCAGAGAATTCACTTCCATTTGATGTTGGCTCTGAACGGTTTTCAAAGTCAGACACCAGAAATACTGATAAACTGGCATTAACATAGCCAACCATACACCTAGAGGGGAAAAAATCCTGTAGTCAGGACACAGCAAGGTTCTTCTGTTAACTGTTGTACCCATGAGGATGTTCTCTGGGTTTTATGAAATCCAGAGTATGACTGTGATGCTTATTAAAATTTGAAAAGGATGTTGAGGCAATGTAAAAGAAATGCTCAGGTAAGTCAGATGGACAATAAAAGTGAAACAATGGTAGATTTCTATGGGAGAAGAAATGGTGAAGACTTGGACTGGTTACTTTTGAAAAGTCATCTAAAAAGTGACACAAGAGAGGTAGAGAAAATAATGAATAGCACTAGGAAGATAATCAGAATATTCTCACTGTTACCCTCACAATACTAGCACAAAGGGACATTAAATCAGATGGAAAGGCAATACACTTAAATTTACAAAATGTCCAGTTAACCAGGGAACTCAGTACTAAAAGATCCCCGGGTGGCTGAGCACTGCAAGGGTCAGACAGAGTTTGGAGAACACCGAGGAGGAGAACGTACGTCGCCTGACAAACGGCTGTGGGAGTCACTTGAAGGCTCAGGTTTGGTGTTAATAAAACTGAGGGGAGATACGGCAAGTGTAGTGTGCTGCTCCCTCTGTGCTGCCCAAGCACAGGTAAGTCCAGGCACACTGCTCAGCTTGGTGCAGAGCATAATGCACAGTAAGAGTTTGGGGTTTTTTTTTGAGCTATGTATTTTACAGTCTTTGAGAAATTACATTTAAATGCCATCTGGCTTTTGTCTCAAATCTCCATACTGATGGTATTTGGAACTTAATTACAATATTTTTCTAGTATCAGTGGGTGTCATATGGATCTAGTACCTGCAAATGTTTTTTGAAAGAAAAAAGCACCTCTGTCATTTAAGTTATTCAACAGCAGATGTTCTTGACTCCTTAATTTGAGAAAATGCAATATTTCTGTGCATTTTTGAATGCTAACATAAGTAGTTTTTATCCAAGTTGGCTCCTCCAAAGGATTACTATCTGATGGTTTCATCTAGAAATTCACTCAGAAAAGCAGCAGAAGTGTGAAAACACTGTACAAAAGTTTTGTGAAAAGATTAGAAGAGCTTCATCTGTGAGACAAGCTACTTTCCCTATGCAGAACTAGTTTCAAAGACAGTGAGTCATATTTGAGTCTTCACAAAAATAAAATTTCTAAAGGTGTTTTTTTATGCACGGTGGTCCTGAGAAGATCAGTAGCAAGAAAGTTGCTGACAGTGCCTCAATGTCCTGTGGATCTTCACAATGGCACAAGCAGAGGCACATGCTCAGGAATGACTGGCACCAGACCAAACACTTGATCCATGAAGGGACTTTTACTCTTCATGAAAATAAATGGAACATTTCCCCTGGCACTGACTAAAATGCTAAACTCCTTGCAGGACAGCAAGTTAGCAGTGCTGCTAATCAGGAGCTGCCACACCAGCTGCCCTTCTTCTGTCAGTATGATTAAACAGTATTGACAACCAAAAGACGGCAAAAAAGCTGCAACAGAAGTATTCGCTAGGAGGGAAGAAAAATCAACCTGCCATATGTCTAGTAGCAGAATGTAAGCTCTCTGTCACTGTCTACTGTTTAGCCTGGGTTTCCTTGAACAGTAGTGTCCTTGCTAATGGAAGTGCTAGGAGATCATTTGAAAACTGCTTATTTGTGTTCAGCTGGATTCAATGACCTTCCCTGAGTCCAACAGCCTGGATTTTACAATTTGTCATGTAGCAGCTGTACTCATACTTTCTGGTAGTGTGCACACGCTAATATAATCTCACTGTTTAGCAATATTGAAATAAAATACACTTAGGCAGCAGGGATTCAGTTCACAAATATCTCCTGAAAGATTTAAACTAAAGACTCTAGTTTTTGAAGAAAACAAAATTATTTTGCTCTGTAAGTATATCTTCATTTATTAGCTGGGAATTGCTTCCTCTTGTTTGACACTACTTTTTGAGCAGTACATGCTGAATACTGCATCAGGAAAAAAAGCCCAATGAATAAGTTTAAAATGCTCGTTAAATATATAACTGAAAAATATCAGCATTGCTTCAGAATGACAAGAAGGTTATATCCATGTACAGCAGCTGGGAAGTGCAGCTTGTGCAGCATACTGTTGCACACACCAAATCTCTGTAACAGTTCTGCTATGTTTTCCTGGAATTGACATCAAAAATTATAGTCACTCAACAACCCATTCTGTGAATATGCAAAGCATCAGTATCTATGGCTGATACCTGTTAACTAAGCACAAGCAATGAATTTGGGTAGGTGGCATCAGAACATACCCAGACAATATTCCTGTATCTATTCAAGTAGCAAGTGATTTTCACGCGCATCTGCTTTTCCAAACAAAAGCTTACTTTTGTCCAGCTTCTCCTTGGCCAGCACAAGGTCCATATTTGTAAGCATAAACAAGGCGAGGGATGAAATCTGATGTCACAGCTATAACAAACGCATTTGTGATAACAGAAAGAATTCCAATGCCTTCCAGGATCCCGTACCAGATTCCTGTTCAACAAGGAGAGTACATCAGCTACAGAAAAAACAAGAACCAAAGTGCCTGAGATACTGCATGCTCTGAAGCAATCGTCCCCGCCATCCAAGGTCTTTTTTAGTCTCTATCCAAAAGTCACAGAGTAAAAATAATTTTTCTTTTTGAGCAGCAGGACCTCAGTGGATCAGATTTCTATTTCCACTGGATGGAAACTTTGTTTATCCTGCAAATATTCTGAAGGAAGCTGCAAAAATGCTCATGGAGGCCTTGGCTCCAGCAAGCCACATAACCATGTGGGCAGTTTTAAGAAATGCTGTAAGTCTCCCTGCTTATGATGATAACTATCCAGCCTTTGAGGATGGTCTGCCAGGGCAGCCATGAATATATGCAATCCATCATCTGCCTGTCACAGGGGCCTTGTATGTAATTTGTGCACAGCTGGTCAGCATGTACCTTCCAGCATCAAAGTCCTCATGGCACGCTAATGCTATAGCATGGCACACTGCCCCTAGGCATCATCTGGGCTTTCTGGCCCATCCTTAACTGTCTGACAGATCTTGCAGTACAGCCACACAGCAACTCTGGTCATGAGAACCATCACTGAGAACCACACCAAAGGCAGGTTAGACACATCCGTTGATTTTAATGAGGCATTGAGCTGTCCCTGAAAACTTTCTTGGATAAGGAGCAAATGCAGCATATTTTGAGAAACCACGCCTGCATTGGCCTGAAGAAAAAATAAATCTATTTTTGTGTGTTTTTATTATTTATGTTATATAACTAGTGGGGTTTTTTTTGTTGTTGTTGGTTTTTTTTCAGAAATTATGTCTGCAGCGTATGCTGTATACTGGCTGATGTCCAGGCTTGTACCTAAACTCATAGATGCACTGATCACGTACAAAGTTTTATGCAGACAGAGACTCTAGATACATGGTAGACCATTCTGAGAGCACAAAGTCCAGCCTTCTGATGTTTCATGGTGTGGGCTACTGAATGCAGATAGGCTGTGAGGTATCCTATCTAACCCTCCAAAGACACCGTGTATTCACTGTTGGGCACGTGACTGTTTTACAGAGTCTTTCCTAAAGGTGTTCTGCTTTTGCACACTGCAAGGACAGAAGAGATTTATAGACAAAATATGTTCAGAGAGCCCTTGCAGTAGTGTGTGGCTAGGTGACCTCAAAGTTATGTGAACCCTGTGTTTAGCAATGCAGGTGTGCCTCACTGAGAGAAGTAATCTCTTGGGATTTAGACTCACTCTAGGCCACTAGGGATCTACTGGGAATAACCCCTGAGTCACAGGAGAGCTTGGTTTTGGCCAGGTAAATACAAAACACACAGATCCCTTAGTGGGTGGTGGCTGCTTTCACTTGACTTTCATGTTTCAGCTGCTCTGTCTGGTTATTACGTGTGTCTGCCACATGGGAAAACCTACAGAGGACACTGATAAATTCATTAAAATATCTTGGCTGTTAAGTCACCCAGAAAATCATTAAAAGACATCTTCTAATATAAACTATTAATTGCATAAGTAGATTGACATCAGATCCTTGAAGCTTTGTAGAACAATCAAATTGTGTGTTGTTATTGAGGAAGATGACTGAAAATACCTTAATCTGCTCTTGCTTGAAGCAGTCAATGCTTTGCCTTAAAAATAACACACACACAACATACTCACATACAAAGAGCTCACCTATATCTTTGGCTCTTGAAGCTAAAGGTCTTCTCCACTGGGTGACAAATTTGTATGCATCAAGCCGAATTTCAATAATATTGTTAAGCAAGGCCAGAAGCGGTGCCAGTGGAAAAGCTGCCACAAAAATGGTTGTGAACCCGAACTGAAGAACTAGGAAAAAAGGAAAGACCACAGTATAACTATTAAGATCTAATCCCAAAGTCTAAGATACCAAATAAAATCTGCATACATTATCCATAAATATACAAACATTTCTTATTATGCCGTAACATACAATAGTCTAGTGACACTTGCACAGCAATTCCTTGCCAAAAGTTCAGAGCAAGGATGACAATAACAAGTACGCATCTATCCCCAGGATGGACAGCAACCTCTAGATTTTGTCATTTGGAGCAAAGTTTGGGGGTGGACAAACTGCTTTTAGAAAGGGACATTTTTTACTCCAGCATCAACTAGCATCTCTCAATACCTGGAAAGATTAGGGCTGGATACATTCCCTTTTACAGTACAAATGGGCAGCAGTTTGAAACTTTGTGTAAGTTTCTAGATGCAGTTTTTCAGACTGCCGAATTTCCCATTAATTTGAAAATAGTTGTGTAAGGGAGAAAAGAAAAAAAGCAATCATGACATTCACAGGTTGGTCCTGTAGGGCAAAATTTCCTGTTCTTTAACATTTATTTGAGCCATTATCCTCCTCTCTCCTCTGGATAGACCAATGCCTTTTGGCAGCAAGCTGCTTTGTAAATGTGAGATAGTAAATGACGGTGAATTTTAAACATAAACAAGCATGCAGGTCTGTACCACACAGTTTAAAAAATAAAAGTCCAAGGTAACTTCGTTTAGTAAATAACAGCAAAGTTCTTCAGAAATGTACGCATGTGAAGAGGTGGGCTCTGGTTGGAAAACAACCCTCCCCACACAAAGCCACAGTGTTTCATAGATGCAAGATTAGCAAATCAGCAGCAATGTGATTAGCTATGTTGGTTTGGTTTGGTCCTTACAAACTCACTCCCATTCCTCACCTGACCTGTGAGAATAAAAACCCTTTTGCAGCCTCTTTAGCTTCGTACAGCAAAAATTAAAAGAATATACCAGCCCACATGAACAAAAAAAACCCATTAAAATCTAGTGAAAGAGAGACAACAAATGTCAGTGCCATACTCATTTCCAGGTATTCATCAAAGAGTCCATAAGCATTCATAGGTTGCAGATTGTAGTCCTTTTCCCACTGTGGGAAGTTTGTTTTTCTCTGTGTGCCATACTCTTGTCGTAGTTTTCTCCTGGTCCACCAGTTTTGAATTAGCCTACATTTTCAAATACATTAAAGAAACAAAGTAACTAATATTAGTGGCTATTTATCACAAAATTGGAAGAGGTTAAGTGTGCACAACATACCTTGCAAAATTAATTTCCCACTGCACAGGAAAACAGTATTACATGTGTCTGATGACATGACGTAATAGGTATGAAAACAGATACGGCTGATGGGCTGTAATCCAGGTCTAGATGTTGTTAAAATGGTGGAAGGATTTTGACATCTTTTCATTCTTTATTTACCTTCTTTTTCTCTATACAGAATGGCAAATCACTTCAGGGTCTGTTTATACGGCAGAATGCAATGCTGTGTGGAGAGAGCTGAGCTCTAACTGAGAAATCAGTAAATGGAGTGCTAACGCTGCTTGATCCCTTCCTGTGTGCAAGCTGGCATCTCTACACACTTGTACAATGTGCAGAGTAACAGGCCCTGAGCAATCCTGTGAGGGAAAAAGCAACCTTGAATGGTGTCTGCAGCCAAACAGTCAGAGGAACAAAAGGCAGAAAGAAGAGTGTGGACTACTGACAACACATGGTGGCCAAGAAGTGGATGGGTGACATGAGAGCTATCTTCATCTCAAGAAGTGGGGGAGCTGTATTGGACTCAAGGGGGAAGATATTGTTCCTGAAGAAATGCATGTGTAGGGGCACCGTGGGAGGCACCGAGCCAGAAGAGAAATGAGTGGTCACATCTGAAATAAACACCTTTGCTTCTCCAGGTCAGGGAGTTGCACTGGTTTGGCCAATAAAGGACACGAGTTATATACAGAGAGCAAAAAACCCCCCCCAAAAACCCAAAACCAAAAACCATGACAGAGACTTTCTCCAAAGTTGTGGTTGGCCCCTTCATCTCAGCAAGATAGGTGGTGGCTCACCCAAATAATACAATCCTTTCCCTGACTGTGCGTCACTTCTTGCCTTCACAGTGGCCTGGTCTGGTCTGCGAACGGTAGGCAAACGGCCATTGGATTTAGATAAGGGTTTGGCAAATTGCTTGTTTTCTTAAAGCTTAGAGATTATTTTTTCATTCAGGCCATTTACCAGAGAAGTTATAGCTTTTCTTGTCTTCTTTGAAGAAATGTAGGTGCAACTGGATGCAGGGCATTAAACTCTAGAATTTAGAAGTGCAAGAAAAGAATTTAGAGTGCAAACATGGACTTCAAACCAAAATTTGGAAGCACAAGAAATTATTAAAATATTTGGTTTTAGCAGCTTGCAGCCAGTCACTTGTGGCTAAAGGCCTAAAAAGGCCTTTCCTATGAATGACCATGGTTCTGACTGATGAACTGTGGGACAGTTAAGGGCACATCTTTGCAGTTCACAGCACCCTTTGGGACTTTGCCTCCCTTGTCCTGCCCGTGAGAAAGTGAGATGGCTGAGAACTGAATTCCTTCAAAAGCAGCAATTTGAGGGGTGAGGTGGGTGGGAGACCAATACGCTGACACAGATCCTGGTTAACTTCCTTCTTTGTGAGAGAAGAAACCCATAACCAGTGTTACTAAATATCTAAGACTCCTAGTAAAATTCAAAGAGATGTCATCTTCTGATTTATGTGTGAGCAAAATGTGAGCAATGCAATGTAATGTGGTTTTAATATGGATTTAATATGGTTCTTCTTCCAAGAAAAACATCAACTTGAAATTGCAGTTTCCCGCTACCAAATGAAGCATTAATTTATACTTTGTTTCTTTTATTATTATTGCCAATGTATCTATGCAGGAGAGGAGAACTGATGCACACTTTCAGAGGTTTTGAGGTGGTGTTTGTATGAAGCAGAAGCCCCACTCTGACATGCCAATATTTGTGTTAAAAATGTAACCCCTAAACAATGAGTGCTCTAGCACACACCCTAGGGTCTCTCTTTGATATCTTCAAAACATAGTTTTTAACTCTCAGGCAGAAATTTCAGAAGAGAAGACAAATCCACATGTACCAGTGAGAAATGTGACACAGGCGCTGGGGTGCTGTCACCAAGGAACACTTGGTGGCACTTCTGACTGGTCCTGTGTGTCTCTGTGGTCCCTGTGGGGGCACATGCCCACACTGGAGCTGGGCTGCCACCCTGAAATGGTGAGAAAAAACACTCTCCGAAACAGGCTGCTGGCACTCCTCTCCCAGGGCTGCCTTATGGGGAAATATTCTCTGCTATCAGCTTTGGCATTGTACAGTGCTGGCTCTGCCTGGGTCTCAGCAGGCAGTATCTGGCACACACGTGGAAGTGCAGTGATGTTCTGCTACAGACTGTCGGATTGCCTCCAAATCCTCTGGCCATCCACATGGTGTTGGTTCCGATAATGCTCTTAGCAGAAATGATCATGCTTTTTTCACGCAATAAGTAAATGTACTTGACTGCAGCATTTCACAGCTAGAAGGTGGGCTGAAAGGTCTGGAGGGAAAATTTATCAGAATAAGTTGAAGCATCTCACATTGTTGTGACTGTGTGTTTTGTGTTGTGATTTTCAACGTGACTCTAAAGTGAAGAGCCTGACTTCACCTGAAACAGTTTATTCCTATTAATTAATTTGTTCTTAAACGATTTCTGCCTATCTCCTTCAGTCACGCTCTTTAATCCCCTTTTGTGCTCTTTATTATGTTTCAAAATCCCTATTAATAGGTAGCAGAAAGATCTAATGAAAACTGACAAAAGAGGTAGGCAGTGGAAAGAGAAGGATCAATACTGGTGCTTCTGTTCTCTCCTCCCCACCCCAGCTAATTTCTCCAGCTCTAACAGCTGCAAAATCCTGGGAAGCAGCACTAGGCGCAAATGCAGGAAGACAGAGAGCAAGTGAGCTTTGAGTACCTTGACTGCCAATTACTCTGTGCATTTAAATAATTTACTCCATTCTCATTACAGCTAGATGTGATCAGCACTGAGGCTGCCTGAAATCGCTTCTGCAACATGTTTTTGCAGTTCAGGGACCAAAATGCACTAGCTCTGCTGCTGATGCTGCAGTGAAGTGAATCCCCCTGAACTTTGCAAGGGCATACTTTCTGACAATGTCAGCGCTCTCTGATGTTTTCACACTTGCTAATTTCCCTTGATGACCTGCCACACTGTGTCTAGCATCAAGTGTCTATATTAATCATATTAAACATGCTCATTAAATACTAATCAATAAGGAATGAACCAATAGGACATGAATAATTGTCAACCTTTTAGCTAGGGGACAGCTCCATAATACCCTGAAGATCACTAGGGAACTTGCCTATATACCAGTCAGTACATTTTTCTATCTCAGAGTGTATATATGGCAGCAGTGCATATTTTCCAGCTCATACCTGCCCTTTCAGGCATCTTTTATCACCCAGGAAGAAGAAATCCAGTTTAGAACTTCCTGGCATAGCTAAAAAATGAAACATATAATATTTCCTGCGTGAGGAATACAGCAGTCCTACAGTTATTTTTAAGGCATTTTAAAACAGGGAATACAATTTAACGAAATCAAGTACTTCCCGTATATTATCTATTTGTTAATATTTATGTTACACTTCCACTTTTTCAAACTATGTTCAATATGAAAAAACCTAAACTCCGTCTATCTCTATACATCTAAAAATCTATTTCAAGAGTTTCGTATTGTAGGGGAGATTTTCTATTGTAATGACTACTGTATCTTGCTTTTATGTAACTCGTCATAAGGAAAGCATAAACTTAGTATTCTTCTGTGACCTATGGAAGCATAGGCACCATATTTACTTACGGGTAGCCCAGTTCCATGAAGTTATTCCAGGTCTGCTTTAGCACCATTATAATACCCATTTGCATACAGAGATCAATAAGGCATCCGCTAGGGTGGCACTATGGGAAAAAAAAAAGAAACAAAAGATTAAACAGAAATTATGCTGAGTTGTAAAAGTATTTCTTCAAGACTGTAAATGGATACTAGGTAATTTACTTAAAGGAAATTCAATGCTGTTCTCTTTAATTTTTTTAAAAATACAAACTCATGGGAACATATGAGACTGTATCATACTGTGAGCCTTTTAAGTCTATAATCTAATTCTCTGCAGCGGTCACAATCAGTTGAAACCAGTCTTCATATTACTGATGCTAATTGTGCAACTGTGGGTGGGACAGAGGCAAAGGCTAACAAGTTTCTTCAAGGATTTCAATAGCTTTTGGGGAGAGTGACTGTGCCTCAAGTCAAAGAATTAAGAGAAAATTTGTCCTGACTGCACAGGCAAACAGTTTATGCCTAAAGGATAGACCTAATACTGTTTGAGTACTATTTAATGTATATGACTGGGTGGACTATGTAAAGCTATTATCTTCTTGAAGAACTAAAAATTTCTAATGTCAAACAACAAATCTCCATGTCTTTTTGCAGAGTGCTTGCTTGCTTTAGTATTGGCTCCAGGCCTTGAAGAAGCGCTGCTGCTTTTGGGAGAGATGCTCAGCTAGTACAAACTTAAGTAATTACACTATTTTTCATCTAGTATTGGAAGAAAATAAAAGGGCCAAAAGCTTTCTGCCCTCAAAGAGCATTTTGCACAATTGACTTTGCAGATTCGAACAGCAGAGGTCCAAGCTGTACTGTTAGATCCTGGGTATTATGGATAAGTCAATAAGTGATCAAGACAGATCACTGTCATAGTACTGGAACTATTTCTCTTTTAACTTTTAGGGAGAAAAAAACTGACATTAGTTATGACCTGTAACAAAGTGTGGTATGAATTTCTTATACATACTGCATCATACGGTGCTCAGAACCAGGGTCCCTGCTGAGGTTTCTGTTGACCTCATTCAGCTTCTCTACATTAACAGGGTGGGAGATAATTTTTTTTTAATTGATTTTTCTAGCATATTATTAAATCATTATCCTTCTGTTTTTAGGAGTTAGTCACACAAGCCAATATAACTTAAGAGAGGTATGTGCAGTATTAATGAATTATCAGTGATGTTAGAACCATAACATCACTAATGTACTTTGTACATTGTGGTCTGAATGTGCCCAAGGACACTAGACCAGACTATATCATGTTATTAAATATCTTATACCTGGCTTCATCCAGCAGGTGAAGAGAGGGCTATTGAAAGGATATCTGGGCATTATATTCTACATTATATTTCTAATAAGACCTAACATAGATGTAGTCAATACAGTTGAGACTTTTTAATTAAATATTTATCATTAGATTCTTTTTTTTCTCTGAGAAAGGCAAAATAGTGGGGACTACTAATAGTAGCTTCCAGCAGCAACTGACCCAAGCAGTAACACCTTGCTGCTGTGCTTCCCTCCCAAACCTGGTTCTTTGTTCCTCCCAAGTCTGCTCCTGCAAGTGAGGTTCTTTCTTTGTTCTCTGATGCCTCTGTGAGATGATTCAGCCCAGTAACCCATCAGAAAACTAACTCAGTGTTTCCTGCTGGTACAGGGAACTGAATAGATACCTTACAGGGCTGGACAAGCCAGAGCCACTGTAGAGGAAGAGGAAGGAGCAAACTTCTGGGGGAAGTTAAAGGAAGAGCAGAACTGTCCTCTTTTGGCAGAAGCAAGCTGCTAGGTCAGCTTGGCCCCTCTCAGACTTTGAAGGGATGTTCAGTAAATTTCTGTCGGTCTGCTTATAATTTTTTCTTTCCTTGAATGTACAGAATTCACTACTTCAAAATTAGGATGTCTTTTTCAAATTATTCCTTTTTTGCTAGTGTTTGGATCACCTCTATTAATCAAAATATTTAAATATTTGGAAGTGTTTGTAAATTCATGTTGGCAGTGTAAGACCTGCATTTCCCACTTGCCATTTGTCATGTATTTGCAAAGTTGTTTCAGTTTTTCAGCTGTGAAGCAGGAAAGAAATGATGGGATTTGAGTGTGCAAATCAGTGCAATTTCCAGTGCAAAAACAGCACTGGAAGCTACATGACTGATCCAGAAACTGCTGCTGTTCACCTCCAGTAACTGTCAAAAGGTTTTGGAGTTCTGGATGCATTTGCCAAAAAAATGGGATTGGTCCTTAAGTGACTTGCAAAGACAGCCTCTTATTGCTACCCAATTCAATTTTGTTTTATAGACATGGAACATTATGCCAGTAGTTCTTCTGGGAAGTTTGTTCCGTTGTTTTGTTCAGTTTTCAAGTACATTTTATGGGTCTAGATTTTTACATTATTATTTTATTATTTTAGCTCCCTGGTCAGCAAGGCTAGAAAACGTGAAAAGAAAGGATTTTTTTAGAAGCAAAAACTTGTCAGATTTATATCTGGCTGATTCATTTCAAGGATGATATATTTTAAATGTAAAAATGTGAGTAGTGTTTAAACCATATGATACCACTATCCAAATGTGATGCAAACAATAAAATTGCTAACATTGAAAAGGGCACATATATCAATATGTAGATGTTTTTGTAGCAGACGTCAGTGTCAGTAAGGTGGAGTTAGCAACTGAAAACCCAATAACACACTCAAAGATACCTAGACAGAGTTATGTGTCTACCTCTGCTTGCATTCACTGCATCTGTGGGCAGCAGAGAAATCAGTGTGTAGTTAGCAAATACTCACCTCTTCCAGTCTCCACCGGTTTATCAGCCTTAAGTAGGCACCAGGGTGTCCTGTAAATCTTTAACATAGGAATATACATCAACTACGTTGTGTAAGTAGCCTGTTCACAGCAATAGAAGAATGCTCACCCTGTTTTAAACTGATGTCATCTTAGCGTGATTGATATAACTATAAAAGATGTTATGCTGCAAAATGTTTTGAGGGATTCCTGGAATAATTTCTATGAAGTGATAAGTGTATTTTTACTTTCAGTTTTATTCAATACCAAATACTCTGCTGTTGAATATCCAGCATATGCAGAGAAGAGAGCAAATCTGAATAAAACTGTTCATGTCAGTTTGGAAAATGGCTTTCAACTGCCATTCCATTTCCTTACATGATAATGTGGGCTGTGATATCTGCCTTTCTGTGAAATCAGTGAAAATGTTAGCTTTCAGTAGGCAAAAGATAATTTTCTTACTATTCTGCCATGTTTTCTCCCAAAATGATTCCCACAACTTCCCTCATGCAAATAATCCATACTGATGGATTCTTCTACGCAGTCTTCTCTGCTCAGAGGCTTTCTTTTGCTTTTTAGGGGACTTGCAGAAAGAGATATACAAATATATATATATACATATATACACACACATATTTCTTTCTGTGGAAAAAATCCACAACTGATAGCTTCTAATTCATTCTTAACAGCCCAAAACATGTTGTTGAAGAAGCAAAGTATTCAGGCTTGGACTAGATGATCATTGTAGGTCCCTTCCAACTGAACTATCCTATCCTATCCTATCCTATCCTATCCTATCCTATCCTACTCTATTCCATTCCATTCCATTCCATTCCATTCCATTCCATTCCATTCCATTCCTATCCATTCCATTCCTATCCATTCCATTCCTATCCATTCCATTCCTATCCATTCCATTCCTATCCATTCCATTCCTATCCATTCCATTCCATTCTGAAAGAAAAATACAGTGTTATTTACTTAAGTGAAGTGACCTGCATGTATAGTATTGTGGGATGCATCAGTTCGCACCAGTGGAATTAAGTTAGCACTGAGCCAATGTGGTGTTAGGAAATGAAAACTATGTCTGTTTCTCGGCTTTTGAAAGGAAAATAAAACTGCAATCTGTCCTGCTTTGCTAGTATGGAATTTGCATTTTGAGATGTGTGATAATATGTCCCCATTTTGTTTCATTACAGACAATTTTATTTCTTCTCTCTACTTCATTTTGCACATATGAGGGTGCAGACATCAATCCTACCTTCCAAGGAAGAATGCTATATAAAAGGTAGAGCTGTTCAGATTGACAAACTGAAAAAGAAACATTTTCAGAGTGAAGCTGTTCTCCCACTCAGATTCAGTACGAGGCTGCTCTGTGAAGAAAGAGAGCAGAGTTTCAGATGTTTAATCAGATTAACAATTTCCCTTGGCACAAAGGCTGCACACACCTATCAGAGCTGGCAATGTATTTGTAAATTAGCCTGCTGATTTCAAAACAGAAGATGACAAAAGAAATCAGCACACAGCAAGTGAGCTTGTAAAGACTTAGGAAACTCTTCAGATATTTGGATATGTATATTCCCAGGAGATAGTAAGAAAGTGGTTGAGATACTGTGTATATTAAACACCCCTCCTGGATTCCTGCGTTCTTTACAGGCTCAGGCTCTTCTCTTGTTTCCTTTTCTGCAACCTGCCATAATGACATTGCCAGAAAGCACCCGACTACAGGCTGCGTAAGTGCCTTTTTGTTAGGGCTGTCACACTGAATGGGAGCAAATCCTCCTTGTAATTATTTTTAATGGATTTGCCCACCATGGTGACAACTAAGGACTCTAGACACATATCAGTGGAGTGCCCCTGCTTGACTCCCCTTCCTTGTCCCAGGGAGCTCATCACAGAAGACTGAGAAAAAATATTTTGCAATGGATGGGTAAGGCAAATGGGAAAGGGGAAGTCATATCCTTCCCTTCAAGTAGGCCCTTAATCTCCGTTTGAAGAAATTTCAAGACAGAAGTTAGCAACTTCTATGCCAACACGCAAGTACCATGTCCTGGAACTACTTTCCAGTTGGTAGGAGTTTTTTATTAGGCAATCATTGCTGTGAACAGGAATAATCAGAAGAGAAGTGGAGGTACTAATCATGGTTCGGAGGAATCGTAATGGTGGTACTCATACACTACTTCCAAAGGAGCCTCCGGTAAAGTACTGAAAGTACAGAAACAGCAATGATAAAGTAGATTCTCTTTAATCAGAGCTGCCCTACTCATGAGGAAATTTCAAACAGATTCATCAACAAAACTGTAAAACAGACCATAAATTAACAACCATGCTGGAGATTTGTAAATGCCTGTCAAGAGACCCAAGTTTGTGTGTATGCCCGTACATACATATTGAGCTAACCAGAAAGAAATAAAACATTGTGGATTTTTGATGCCAGTCTGTGGAAAGGACAAGCTTGACTTTAAGAAGGTTGCTGCAGCTAAAGCTTTGCTTGCATGCCCATCAGAGACAACGGCAGTGCTCTGGAGGAGCACGGATGTGAGCTTTGAGAAAGGTCATGTAAAGGCTGAAGAAGGACATCCTGAATGCAGCTTTGCTGCAAGTCCCTCTCTGAGCTTATTACATTGATAAAGATCATTCAAATCAGCTACTTAGGCCATCAGAGTAAAAACCACAATGCAGTCTGAACACTGTCAGAACAGCTTGACCCACCAAGGTTTTATTCAAGTGCTTTCTGTACAGGGGACAAGAAGCAGACCCACTTTGACGATAACCTGGCAGATAGTAATCAAGCTTCAAGGTCTCTAGACCATATTTTACTGTCCCCAGGGTGTCACAGGGAGTAAAAGGGCATAGCCTGCGCTAATCACATACTTGAAAGTCATATTTCTCCACAGTAACTAGTAGGTATCTTTTTCATGGATACAGGATGGTAAAAGTATTTTAAACTTACAGCATGCAAAGGAGGATTTTCAGTCTAATAAGAAACAACAGAATAAAATGCTATCTTACACAGATGTGCTTTGAACACATCACCTATGACTTCCCATATGTAGAAAAGCCCTGACACTAGCTAAAATCAGCTGTGTGTTTCCTCTGTGCAGACACCTAAATCTGTCCACCTGGTCCAAAGTACCTTACTGAACATCACCAATGTACAAAGGTATGCAGAAGCTCAAAATAATCTCCTCAAACCACTTTTACACATGCCATAATAGGGTTTCCTTAATAGGCCTTCAGCAAGAATCTCATTTCAGGCTTCTTGACACTAAGGAGCCCTTGCCAATTGCCACCAACTACTGCAATCTTCCAGCATGATCAGGATCTCCAGAGTCTGTGCCTGAGCCATTGATATATAAGTGACAGCCTATTGCTACCCAAGTAATAGTACCTGCCGTCCTTAGAAAAAATGTTGTCCTTACTCTAGCAGAGAGATCACCCTTATGGGTGAGCTGAAAAGACTGTGGAAACTTAGAACACCATTAGAGCGCAAGTGCTGGTAGAACTGATGAATCACCTTGTTATTTTCCTTCCAAATTACTGCCCCTCTCAATGGCATATGTTTGAGTCAATACACACCTTAGTTTCGAGCTATAAAATTGGCTTTCAGAAGTGATTCCCCCATTTCCAGGTCTTCACAAAACCTCGGGGTTGTGAGCACTCAGTCTTTCTGAAAACTCATGCTGTTTCCCCCAAGGTAACAATTTGTTTAATTTCTTACAAGGTAAGGGGTTGGAACAGGAACCAAGCATGGCAGGGGGGGGACTATTGTCACCACTGATTGAATGTCACTATAGCTTAGTCTATGTATTCCTTTGTTATAAACTTAAGAAGAACATTAATTCCTATAGATTGCAAATTAATCAGTATTTTTCATATTTATACAGATAGTTTAAATGGCAACACAGTATAAGGACCAAAAATCAGCACAATATCATTCAATTTTGTATTTAACATTGCTTACCTAAATTTGTCAGGAAAAGAGCAACCTTTTCATACAGCTGAAACAGAGAAGAAACAGCCTCTTAGATACATGACCAGCTCAAAAATACAGAACTCCTTTCTAAGTGGAGTAACTGCTCTTACATGTTAAATCTGACGTCCAGATGGTCTCTGTGATGTTCTGATAATGATGATTATAAAACTATATAGTAATAATACTATAATGATATAATCAAACAAGGAACAGTAATATTCTTAAAGCTTATAGTCAGCTCTTTCCATCCACAACACATGGAGAAAAAATGCTGTCACTGTCCCTATTTTATATACACAGTGAGAAAGGGTCAGATAACTTTTCCAAAAACACAAAACAGAAAAATAGCAAAACTGTGATTTTTGTTTTAGTTACTTATGGAACATTTATCTCACCAAAAAAAAAAAAAATCACCCTAGTAAGAGCATGCTCTGGTATTGTGGGCTTTTTGGTTTTGTTTGTGGTTTTTTTTTAGTGTTGAAAGGAAAGACACTGGGGAGACAGGGTTACTCCAGAAAAAGTCTTCAGTAATCCCCCACACCAGACACATTTCTTACTCTGAGTCAATGACGTTGTTCTAAATCCTAAATTGTACTTTCTGCACTTAGCAGATACCATGATCTCAAACTCTCCAGGAGACTGCTAACTTCAGAAAGCTTACAAAAACTCAGAGGCTTTTCACAATTAGTAATTGCAAAGGGGTTTTGAACCCCTTTTGTTGGTACATCGCCACCAACATCACTATTAGTGTAAATTAATACAATGATTTGCATTTGCTTTAAATGACTCCGGAGCCTGTTCTCACAAAATGCTGAATGTCCTTAACTCTCACTGACGCATACAGGGATACAAAGCTCCTCGTATTTCAGGCTCAAGTACTTATTCCTAAATTGCATATCAGCAATGTTTCTTTTCATTTGCAGTTATCCTTATAAACTCTTTCTTAAATTGAGTTATGTACAATTTACAGATCAAACTGCCTGCCTAAGAACTAAAGTCATCCTGAATTATCTCATCCATGTTTACAACCACTTCTTGCTTAGAATAGCTTTATGCTGTCTTTGGAGTACACAGGTTTGTTTCAAGTAATGTCAAAGGTGTTTTCTTCTAGGTTTGAAAGCATCTCTTAAGGGCAGCTATAAAAGTGCTAAATGTTTATATCCTGATCTCAGCAGGGAGTGTGCTACTTTATAAACATACATTGCTCTGCAGAAGGGGGTACCAAAACTGTATTTTGTTGCTATTCCTCCTGGAACAGTAAGACTGTGTTAGAGATTCTATTAACAATGTTTGGATCTAATTATCTGCTACTGCAGTTATCACTACTAGTTCCAAGTGGCCTTGTTTACTATCATTTTCTGTTCTGCGTTCATATATTCTATGAGTGATATCACTGGAATTAACAGTTTTTATTAACACATGTAAATCTAATGATTGTTCCCAGGTCAGGCTGCAGGATTATCTGGGGGACATTATGCTTGAAGGTCATTTTGTTTTGTCATGATGGATGTGTCAGTGTATGTACCTAGCTCTCAGAGCATTCAGTCTAGAAGTTACTTGTGGTCTAGGCCTTTTCCCTGATGCTTAGAGAGGTTGTCAACTTATATCAGAATCACTGGTGGTTTTCCAGGCTTCCTAGCAGTGAATTCCCTACTGTTCTACACATCTTGGCCCATTCTGGTTTTATTACTGTATCTTTTCTTGCTCTCCTGCTACTTTTCTTGAGTCACAGTTTGCAGAAGATTCGACTACCTCATTTGATCCTGGGGAAAATAGAATGCAAAAGAAATCCCACTACTGTCCTTAAGTAAACTACATTAATCCATCATGGGAAGTGAGGGATTATGTTCTTAAGTCCTTCTTTTGAAAAGCTCATGCAGTTTCATATTTTGGGGATAATTTGTTTCCATGAGCTATATCCAGATCTAAGGCTGTGGTGTTTATTGCATGGTAATGAGTATAAGGCTTAGAGAAATCCATCTTTGCAGTGCTCTATTTATTTGATGTATTTTAGGAAGTAAAACAAAGTTTCTCAGAAGGCACCTTCAAGCTATCTTCCATTATTTTAAAATTTCTCTAAGCTGTAAAACTCTTTGAGAACCAAATAATTTTGTTTGTGCAGTATTTCTTTGTTGCTGCTTCACTGCATATACAATAACTTATACTGAGAGCTTGGAAATGGATGTTTTACTGACATAGATATATATAGTTTTCTTTTTATTTCTTCTATGTGATTGTGTGCTTTAGGTGAATTAAAGAAAACCCTCAAAAGCTGCAGACAACAAACAATAAATCAAAAATAACATAAAAGAAGAGAGCCCTCAGTACAAATTCAGAGAGTATAACAGCTTCTACCTCTTCTTTCTGCCCTTTCTCAGCCTGTAGTCCCACCTCAGGGAAAACATAGGAAAGGCAACAGTTCTTGATAGACTGTCCTAGTCACCAATCCAGTCTTGCCTATGCCAAAGGGAGAAGAGAAGTCCTGTAGCAAAGCCTCTTGGAATTTCCTACTATATAAATGAGGGACTGTTAACACTATTTTTCAGATGATGGAAGCACTTGGGTATTAAACAGGAAAGAAAGCAGTCTCCAAGCACTTGGAATGTGCAGGCCTGAAATAACATCTTATACTTCCCCTCGGAAGTAAGTCAGCATATCTGCTCAAGCAAAGCCTAACATACCTTTTGCAGAAGACACTTGCTACTGAGTGGATGGAGATACTCCACCCCGGCTCCAGTACCTGGATGGTTGATCCCTCCTTCCCATTAAAATGCATTCTTATAATGTCAGTTGACAAAAACCTGATAGTAGAAGGCTATACACCTCTTGCCAAGAGCAACTAATAGAAGACACATTGCTATCACAGCAATATACAGAAGTATCTGCATCTCGTCGGAAGGAGGAAACTCATTCCCCATCTAATCTATGATATACTGTTTACCTATTTTTGTCTTTATTCCAAGTCTGGTTCCAAACCAGTTCACAACAATAACCTGACCTCAGCCAGTCCCCCTATAATGCACCCAGACCATGTCTCTGGAGTACCCTGGCAAAAGCCATAGGCAGGTCATGGAACAAGTCATCTACTCAAGTCTCTTAAGTTTCTAGCCAAAGGGAATTCTCCTGCATATGGGCATTGTTTCATAAATGCATATCATCACTGGTTAACTACTGTGAAAACTGATGCTGGAATTACCGAAACTAATATAAATAAGAATTAAGCTTGGCTACTGTATTTAAAAAATAACATCAAGACACTAATTAAAAAGAAGAATATTAATGAAATGGACTGAAACCTGCAAACATATCAAAGGAAAAAAGAGGCAGAGGATAAAACAGAAGTATGGACATGTCTCTCTAAAATATTTTTTAAAATATTCAAACACGCTTTAAATGATGTTTTGGGTTTGGAATTGTACTTTACATAAAGAGTGAATGATGTCCATAAACAATAATGCTGAAAAAGGAAACAAAAGCATTTGGTGGTCTGCAGACTGAGATATCTACTGATCTGATGCCTTGGGTATAACTTTGGATATGTTAGTTTTACTCACCACATTCAGTAGCATGATGATGCAAAAGTTGATGCACACTGCAGTCCCTGTAGTTGCAACCTGAGAGTTATTCCTGATTAAAGCCCACTTAAAGGCAGCAAAAGTGCTGACAGTTACAACACGGTAAATAACAATGCCAAAAACAGCAGCAATCACCACGCAGATCTAAAGAAAGAAAAAGTCAGAGAGAAGAACCTGAAAACTTTCAATAGAACAGAAGTTAACTTCTCCCTGAAGCTCTGAAAACTAGAAAAATGAAATTAAAGACTTGAAAAATACATCCATTTTGATTCCAGAGAAAGGTTTGAACATTAATATTCTTCTTATTGGGAAGTCCTTTTTATTTTCAATAATTGAAAATATATATGGAAACAAAATAATCTTTAGTTTTAAACATTTTCTTGAAAATGTATCTCTGAGTCCTTAGCATTAATGTGGGAAATAGTGTTGCCAACTCTGGGAATTAGAAATTATCCTTGCAGGCATGTTTCACAATGTGGAAAAGCTAGTCTCAAGCTGATATCCCAGCTTGATGGTGTCATATTTGGGATGGATTTTGTGCTTTGATTGACTACACACTTAGAGGAAAAAATGTCTCCATTTATAATCACTGCCTCAACAACAACCCTGGAAAGCTACCTTAGCAAGCTGTTTCTTGCTACAGTTCTGGAAAGATTCTGTCTAGGGAAGGTAACAAACTCAATTGCTCTTGTAATTTCTTCTCTTATGAGATGTTCGGCAAATGTGACAATTACAATGGGAAAGCCATGCAGCTGGGGCAGGCCACAAAATCACTTGATATTCCACATGCAACTGTTTTCCATCCTGACAAATTGATGTCACAGTTTAGCAAGCTACTGAAAGTACAAACAATTGTTAAGTAGCATCTCATAGAAACTGAACCTTAGCTGCCTTATTAGATAAGGAGGGAGACTTTCTCCAGTGGAAGACATAATTATTTGCAAAATTTAGGTGTACTCCAAGGTTATGTATAGACAACTTAAACCTATCAAAATTGAAGGATATCTAAGCTAATTGAATGGGCAGAATGATTTTGAAAATACTGAATGCTAATCAAGCTGTTTTCATATTTTATTAGTAACTGATTGACATAATCCCAGTGCAGATGAAAAAGAAAAGTTAAGTGTGCGTGAATGTGAAGAGCTATTTTATTAGATTCTCTGCTACCACACTGGCAGCACATAGAAACATTACAAAGTCACTGAGCTAGAGGACTGCCTCTGAATACCCTGCAGAGTGTCAAGGGGAAGAAGAACAACTTTCCTTTTTTAACAGGGAATCGTTAACCTGGACCGGGTTCAAGCTGTATTAGTAACTGCACTGTGAGAGTCAATGCTGTAAAATTTTGAGAACTGTTCTACCTCGAAGTTTTGACAAGCATCTGCCTCTTGTGCTTAAAGCCGTAATTTTTAAGGAATATTTTTACCTGAGTGGGGGAAAATTAAGAGTTTTTCTAACTCATTGGAAGCTCACGCTATGCCAGCAGCAAAAAATATCTTCAGTGAAAATAATCCTTGTCCTGTTTCAAGGACTGTAATGGGGACAATTTGTGGTGCATGCAGTTCAGAGCAAGGCTACTCTCTCTGACGCTTTGAGCAAGATCTGTCAGTAGGCTAAGAAGATTAATGACTGCCTTTGCAAAGGGTAGGGAGTGAAAACTGTCCCTGCTTCTGAAAAAAATGCAGGGAAAATGCAAAATATTGCAGGTGTACAATCAATTCTGAGCAGAGACTGCAGTCCTGAGCAGATGTATCTTCAAGGGCTGAGTCAGACAGTACGTTGGCTCCTCGTGCCCAGTGTTTCTCTGTGTGTCTCTGTCCATCCACCTGACATACCAGAGCACAGTTAATCTCAATAATGCTCTTGCCTTTCTTGTCCAAGACTGCTTTGGACAATTTTGAAGCCATCTGTTTCTTACAAGCCTTCTGGCCTGTTCCCTCCCATCTCATTCAAATGCAAAGTTGCTGGACTAGCTCACATACCTCTCCAGAGCTCCTGGAGTTATACACATATGTAGTTTTCTAGCCTCCTGGAAAAGCCCTAGGAAATTCCATGAGGGTGTAAGTTGATGCCAGCTGTGTTTTCAAGACTAGTCCTACCACTGCTGTTGTCATGTGAGCAACAGTGAATAACAGCTTCAGTGAAGTTAGAGGATGGGGTCATTTCAGCAGAAATGCATGCAGCTCTCTGTTAGGAGAGATTATGCTGCTGCCTTTAGTTTTGGACTTTGGAAGGGAGAGATGCTTCATTTTAGACAAGGAACATTGGCTTCTCCATTTCAATTGCTCTAGGAATATGAACCCTCTTTCTTTACCTCCTTAATACACTGAAAAACTAGGACATATTACCATCATTAAGCACTCTAGGCACCTTAGTTAGGTTCTCTGTAGAGTTTACAAAGAACTACTGCCTCTTCCATGGCATCTCTCCTCATCACTCTGCACTGTCTACACAGTGATGGCAAGGCATCAGCAAGCTAATTCAGTCAGCTGAAGTTGATGCCTAAACGTGATAGTGTCACTACATATAGCATGCTGTGTATAGCCTTGAAAAAAGGACTCAACTACCTGTGAGACTCAGTGAAGAGTAAACAAGTGTAGGACTCTACAGAAACTCAGGTGATTTGCTATGTACTGATTTTCAGCCTGCAGTAAACATGCTAGAGCTTCTTTCACTTTCAAGCAACCATATCCATTATCACCATACTCTCTCAGCAGAGATAAGGTTATTTTGTATTTTTTCAACTGGTAAATAAACAAAAGTTCTCAAACCATAAAAAATATTCCAGATGCAGAAACAATGAGTCTGCTGCATTTATCTGCAAATGCTTGATAAGGCTCTGGCTTCCCGGATATGGGGTTCATTCGTTCTTTCTTGGAGTACTTCGCTTCAAACTGCGGACGTATTTCCTCCTAAAGAACAGACAGACAACGTTCACATACAGCACATCTGGGAAAGATTCTGTAGGAAGCTTCAGATCACTTATCAGATCACTCTTATTGGGAATTACATCTTTGAATTCAGCAGCTGGCACAGCTACTGTAACAGCTGAGCTGGGAAATCAGGTCTTCTTCATGGGAACTATAAAAAATCACTGTACCCATAAAACCATGTTGGAACTATTTAGTAAACACCCAATTAGCTACCCCTCTAAACAATGCTCTTTCAAAATTTATGACTGTAAGCCAAATAATTTAAAGGTTGATATTAGAGAATTCTCCAGCCTGGTATTATGCTATTGATACTGGAAATTTAACAACAAAGCATAAAGAAAAAAAAAAAAAAGAAACTCCTCTTTTCAAACCCAATTGCTGTTTGCTAGGTAATTGGTTACCTTCCTATTATCAGCAAAAGAAGAAGGAGCCATTGCTCAATTCCTTCCTAACTTGGACAATATTATTAGCAGGAACAACTTTCAGCAACAGAAATGTCAATTCCTGCTTTGACATAAAAACTGTCTTCTGAAATAAAACTTGGGGATTTCTTGGGGAGAGGCTTGGTTACATCTATTTGCAGCCTTGTCAGAAGACAGGGTTCATGCTTGGTTTGGGTAAGAGCTCATGGTTTTCAGCTGCAGTAGGGCTGCCCCACTGCCCTGCCATCTGAGAGGTTCACTAACTAGTGTGTGTCCTTGTGCCACCTCACCCAACTCTGACATCAGGGATACTGTCAGAAATGAGGGAAAGCACCAGGCTGCAAAGATGGACTCTCACAGCTGCTGGCAGGCCATGTGCATTAGATCAAGTTTTACAATGCTCTGAGGCATGCTGGAGAACTGGCCCATGTTACAGTTGGCTACAAATACGCACAAAGGCAGCTATGGACTGTCTTTGCAGCTTTTCCACCAGGACTCTGCTGTGCATTTCTTTGTAACAGCTTACCAATTTCAGTCACTTCCAACACTTCAACTGCATTTAATTGAACTTTGACTGACTGAAAGTCATAAATGCCTGGACTTTAAATGACTGCATTGAAATAGGTGAATGTTAACTGCTCATACAAGTCTTTAGAACGTGAATAACAATAAGATATCCTAAAATCCTACATCCTTTTTATAAAATTCCCCTGGTAAAAAAAAGAAGTCATGCCTCATTCTCATTCTCTAAAATTTTGAAGGCACTTTCTCAATACAATTAATTTCCAAATTTAAGCAGCAACCTGGTAACACGGTATTTAAAAAAGTTATGAGGCATGTATGCTCCGTTGCAATGCCTGTGTAACTGGTTATGTGCTTCAGGGAACTAGCCATACATTAGCTATATACAAAGGCCAAGCATGTTTCTGTGGAGGAAGGGTAACATCTTGCTCTCGTTCTACCTTGCTCAAGCTGTTCCCACCATACCAGGGCTGAGGGCTGCTGAACAGACCATAGTCTAGCAAGAAAAACAATGCAGGTGGTATTCCTGTGTGCCCAGGGACATGCAAAAGAACAGAGTGTGACAGAATTAAAGCAGGGCACTTGAGAATTGTGCCCTGTAGATTGTGCAAGGTCTCTGCCAGCTGACTTACCGAGTCATATACAAGAAACCTTTTATTCTCTGGAGCTCTTTCTAAGACAAGTTTTGATTGTATTTTACAACCTGCACTATCAGGAAGTCCTTATCATATCCACCTGTATGTGAATCTAGGTATCTCTTACAATCTCCAGTCAATTCAGATCATAAAATGCTATTTTTATAGATACATCTGCACATAAAACTGAAACTCTGGCATGAACTTCATGCTTGTGTAATGACACTCAGGAATGCTGAGCACAGTTTGGGGCAGGAAGTGAACAGTACTGCATTTCGCTGAGGTTAATGGTATAAAGAAAGTGAACATGAAGAAAAAGTATGCTGGAAATACCAAGAGTATATTCAGCTGGGAGTGCCAGGAACTCTGCACAGTTGTTTTCCTGTTGCACACCCAGTCAAGACCCTATTTACAGAAAAAAGGAAATCCAGATATACAGGGTTGAAAGAGCCAGAACACATTCAGCCCATGTCCCCAGGCTGGGGGACCTGAACAATGCAGGGGCTGCTGCATGCTTTCCTTGGGTGCAAATCTAAAGTGGTGAGGAATTCACAAGGTTGCGTATCTGAACAAATTTAATTCTCCTTCCCATTGTATTCATATTTTCATTTCTTTGCATTTTTCATTTACAACAGAAAAGTGACAACAAAGTGGTAGAAAGCCTTACAAATGTTTTTCTTTCAATCTATTTTTACTAGGAATTAATAGATTTCCTTTTGTAACAAAACATTATTTTTCAATTTGACAATGAAAATTAAAGCAAGCAAAAGCTAGACATGGCAGATAATGTTAATAAAAATAATAATCTTCAATAACAAAAGCTCGTGACTTAAAATGGTAGTTAGAACTCTTTAATTGATTTCTTTGAAATAGCTAATAGAAATTGTCTGATTTTGTCCAGTGATAACTGAATGGAATGTAGAGAGGAAATTTAATTAATAGTGATTTTATTAGAAAGCAGCACGTCTAGGAGTAAAATTTTCATCTTATGGAGACAAAATTTTCACTGACATCTCACTGACATGTACAACTTCATTATCAAACTCCACAGTATGTGTTTGTTTCAATCTACATAAAACAGACTGTTCTCCTTCCTTCCTGCTTCTCAAACATGGATCATTCCAATTCTTTACTCCCAGGAGAAACCATACTGGTTCCTGGAATATCAAATATGGATTAATGTGCACTGCCTTAGGCCAGATCTTTGTGCACTGCTTTAGGCCAGATCTTTCTGCACTAGAAGAGCTACTCTAAATTTCTTTGTGAAATATACCCTTTTCTTTCAGGAGGTTTCTGAGTCCTTCAACAGGTGAATTCTTGCAGGAGTCCTATCCTTCCTAGTCCAAGGCTATATTGTCCTCGTAGCCCAGATGTAGAAAAGGGATTTGTAAAAGACTGAAAATCTGAATCTTGATCACTTGAACTTGATAGCACCCCCATAAGTAAGTCTCCTCGCAACATCTGTGGTTTGCAGGTCATCCTGCTTGCAGCTGAAGGCAATGGAAAAATGAAGAGGTAGACTTCAAACCACAGAACAGGGAAATGATCTCAATACTTTTTCACCTGGGACACCTGTTTCCAAACTGTGACTATCTCAGGGGCAAACTCTTGCAAGGACCTCAGTGCCAATGGAGAAGTGCACCATTTGATACTCAAGAAGAGGAGGCAGTGGTTCATAGAGCTGACCTCAAAGCAAGGACATGCTTGAGTTGTGCAGCAGTTAAAGGCACTGGCAGCTGTAGGATCTTCAGAGAAGACACCTCTGGGAGGCAATCAGCTCCCACTCTGGTGACTCCACTGAATGCTGAACTAAGGAGGAACTGATGCCTCAAATGCCAATGAGACACTGATGCTCTGATAATTGCTCACATAAACCTGAGAAGCAGAGAGTTGAGCTCCTGTTGGTATTTTTAACTTCTAATTTGAGAGAGAAAGGTACCATCTGGCACACTGCTTTTTAGAAGACTGCTACCTCCTGCTGTAGAGACTTATAAAACTCATTCTAGAACTGTAATAAGGTGCAATGAATAGCTCTGGAGCAGGTACACTCACCACTGCCCCAGGGCACCTGACAGATCTTGTTGACAGGGTTCATTGGAAGAAGTTTGGTGTGAGAATAAAAGACCTGCTGAGCATCAGCAGGGAACAGGTATCCTCTAAAAATTACCAACATGTTTATGTCATCCTGCAGGCCAAACTGAAGTGATCTACCAGTGGAACTTAAGCATCTCTTTTAAAAAACAATGTTATTTGGTAGACATAATCAAATGAACACGTATTTCTATGAGGATAGTTTCAACAACTAGAAGCTCTTCCAGGCTTTCTGACTGGAAGAGGAAAAATCCAGCAATTCTGCTCTCTTCTGTCTTTTCAGTGTTTATTCCAGCTAAAAGCTTAGTCACATAGGCATGGTAATGCTCTTCCAGAAAAGCTTAGAGAGGAGAGAATAAATTTAATGCCTTCCTCCAGGATTTGCAAGAGGACATGCACTTTCAGTAGTAGCAGCAAGGTTTTAAGTGGAGTTTGGACATGTGGATACAGAGGAGAGGGAAACAGAATAGGGAGCGGTCCTGAACGGGCTTGGAGCTGTCGTGCTCACACCTGAGCAAAAGACTCCTCCAAGCTTTACCACAGCAACCATAAATCACTTAGTACTCTTACATGGAAAGAAAAAAATTAAAAAAGCAAAGCATCACTTTAAGGCAACCTTACCAGAAAATTCAATATTTCTAAATGAACAGATCATAGAAGATTCAGGTGGATGGCTTTATAAATCAGCATAATCCCAAATCCATGTAGGTTAAATGTTGAAAGGTGCAGATATATAATGTCACAAACTATAAACATCTGCAAGACCAGGCTTCCTGGGAAAAACATGAAAGGGCCTTGTGTATTTTGTGAGTTTAAAGGCTCCTTCTCATTCTGGGGATTCTGAGATATAATCCTGATTTGGAAATTGCAATTTGGTACATCTGTTTTTTGCCTTAGCTATCAGCCGCAACAGTGGCTTTTTTTGCAACTAGCTATAAAGGGACATGATCACTGCACGTCAATCTTGACCAATATTTGAACCTCAGGCAGGACTATCTCAGTGTGGTCTCTCCATCACTTGTCAGCATTGACAAGAGCAGGTTGCTAATCTCAGGAGAGCTAAATCAGTATTTCAATATTTTCTAAATATATGACAATAGTCCTGAAGTATCACCAAGCATTGACAGCATATGTGCACAATAGTGATGTCCCTGTTGTTATAAAGAAACCAATTTCCCGTTGTGTAAGTTATTTCATTTTATGTTCTTAGATTATTTTCTTAGACACTAAGCATTCAAAAAAGAATCCTACCAGGAAATGTGCAATTGTACTGTTTCATGGCCTCATCGAACTACACTGCTGCATAGAGACAAAAAATCCCATAACTCAGAAGTCTGTTTTTCTGCTGGCAAGATTAATGAAAAATAAATTCTTCCACAGAGGCAGCAATATACATGTTCAACTGCACTGAGACCACTACAGAAGCCTCTTATAGTCCCTCCAAGAATGTCAGGACAATCTCTAGAGAGGAAGGAGAGCAGACTCTGTGGACACCTGTATGTCCAAATCCCACTTGAGGAGCACTTGTTCTGCCACGCTCACTGCATCTTGTTTTTCTCCTGCATAAATAAAACCGTCTAGTTGCACTTAGACCTCAGCTCTCAGTCCCAAGAGCATGCTGTTTCTTTCTGGTAACCACCACAGAAAAAGGTTAAGGCTATTCTTTTGCTGTTCAGTTTCCTCCCTAAGGGGATTTCTTTTTAAAGGATGAATTAAGTCCTTTGAGCTGGTTCATCTTCCTCAGTCTCTCTGCAGCACTGTATATTTAAGTAACTAGCACCCGACCATTCAAAAGCTGGTACAAGCCTTATAAGGCTTTCTCTCCCTCGATATTCTTCATGGCTATCTAAAAGAATAGATAAAACCTCATTTGCCAAAATTCATAGTACCTTGGGCTGTCAGAATTTCCTTGGATTCAAAAGCAAAATTTTTAGCTTGCCCCAAAGTGCGTTTTCTCCTGAAATCTCCCACAACGATGGCCACTGATATGTTGAAATTAATTTAGATTTACGAAGGTATGCAAAGGGAGGACAGTTTGGCCTGGGGCAAGCTTCTTCACATTCCAGAGGAAACATCTGAGGAGAAAAAGGCTCATGTCCTAGTTTATGAAGATTTGAAGAATGAATTGAAAATAAATCCAAAAGAAAAAAAACACATGCTTACATTTTTAACCAAAAGTGTTTGTATTAAAGATTAAGGAGTGCTTTTTTTTTTTACACAAACCTCTTCTTCTTCCCAGTCTATCAAGTCCCAGTCATAAGCAATTACTGCTCGCCTTCTTTTCCAAAACTCCAGAAAAACAGTTGCTGGAGCAAATAGAAAAAAAAAAAGTTTTCAAGTCAAGGAAATGTTAACTACTATCACATAATTTTTGAATGAAGCTGTTACATTATTTTAATTTCTTCGCATAAATGGGTTCCTTTGAAAAGCAAATCATTCTGATGATCAAAACTGCTTTCAATAAGAATTGCTTTCTAAGGATTACCTTGCTTGCTTCAAGTATGATTGAGGCTTTAGAGATTTCATTTAGTGCTAAATGAGAATGTTTAATTTCTAACCAACCAAAGGAGGAAACCCACTTTGTCCATCAATTAAAGATGTCTTTAAAGTAAAAGGAGGAAACACCAACAGATCACCTCTTCATGGAAAGCCCAACCTGACTATGCCTGGTTTTGAAAACCCCAAGTAAATGGCTGAGGCTTCTCCCTCAAGATGGGAGTTCACTAATGGATCTAAAGACAGTGAAGAAGGTAATAAGATAGATAACTAACTCTAGATAATAAGACAGTGGCTAAGCTCAGGCTAAAGAGGTAACAAAATTCTATCTGCCTTTTTTTGCTTTCATTCTCTTTTTTTTTAAAAAGCACTGCCATCATTATTCTGTATGCTAGTGTCTGTCATGCTGGATCATCTAGAAGGTTGAACTTTTCACAGGCAATTTGTCATGCACTTGCCAGTTGTTTCATGCTGTCAGAAAAAACATTTCCACAATCAAACGGCTATCATTGTCTCTTCTCTTCCCCTATGATTTACTGAGATGTTGGTAATGCCTGCAGCTGCTAATAAGCCTACTGCAGACTGAAAATCCATTTAAGACAGATGGTAAACCAACACACAAACACAGTATCAGAAAATTCCTGGGAAGCAGGGCTTTCCTTGTTCTAATGTTGTGTTAGTCCTAATTGTACGGAAAATATCTCCACAATCTCACTGTTGTATCAGTAAAGTCTTATTTAAGAAACTACAGTTTGGGTGGAGCCATAGGATTGCCCCATTCCCCCAAACCATTACCCTACACTCACAAGCTCCTTCCTGTTGCTGCCCCTACATCCCTCTTGGCGGCAAACTCGCAGGCACAGTGTAAGCCAACAAAAGTGGTAGGGAGAGCTCTCGCCCCAGCAGTTGTCTTATAGTCTCTTCTCCACTAGCCAAATCATCCAGCGGACAGCATTTATTATATTTTTTCTTATCTCTCTGGGGTCTTATGTGCTGGAGATGCATAAATGGACCCTGCATTTCCCAGTCCTGGCAGGCTGGTGGGGAGATATCCCCAGAGGAAATTGGGTCTGGGAGTCTGCCAGTGATGACGAAGGAGGGGGAGGAAGGAGAGGCTAACCAAAGTGAGGTGCATCTCCTGTCAACTAGGACTGGAAAGACAGAGCACCTACTGCATTTTGTAGGCAGGCATGCTCAGCCTGCTCAGCCTTCTCCCAGGCAGTGACCACAAGGCAAGACCATACCATCATATCACATGATGGTTTGGGTTGGAAGGTGCCATCTAGTTCCAATTCCCTGCCATGGGCAGGGACACCTTCTACTAGACCAGGTTGCTCAAAGCCTCATCCAGCCTGGCCTTGAACACCTATAGGAATGGGACTTCCTCAGCTTCTCTGGTCAACCTGTTCCAGTGCCTCACCACCCTCACAGTAAAATATTTCTTACTGGTATCAAATCTAAATCTACCCTCTTTCAGCTTATAGCCGTTACCCCTTGTCCTCTCACTACACTCCCTGATAAAGAGTGCCTCCCCATCTCTCCTGTAGGCACCCTTTAAGTACTGGAAGGCTATAAAGTCTCCCTGGAGCCTTCTCTTCTCCAGGCTAAACAACTCCAAACCAGGCATGGTTACTTGAGTGAGGGACACCCCTTACCTAGAGCTGCTTTTCCTACAGCCCTGGTTCTGGGCAGTGCTAAGACACAGGTGCAATGCTCTGATCACAGCTATTTCCTGAAAACAGCGTTACTGTCAAGGGGGAACAAAAGCAGCGGTGCAAAAAGCTGCACTCCAATTACATGCTCACGAGCAGTTACGAACAGTGACATAAATGTTCAACGATGTTAACCCATCAATTTTCCTAACTGAGATGGAAGTCCCTGCCTCTAAATGTCTTGGAAATTCTCAACTTCAGTGAGCACATAGAGAAAGAAGTTGGAAAAGCAGAGTAAAAACTTTTTTAATTTTTAAAGCTTAGAAATCTTTTGTGATCCTCAGCTCTGGTGTAGATCTAAAACAAAGCTGAAAGACCAGGGAGAAACATAAAGTACGTATGATCTGTGGCTTTTTTTTCCATAATATAATTTGTGATATTTTAATAGCATCAATATTACACAAAATGACATGAATAGGCTTGGTTGGTATATGACCTAATTTAATTAGTTAACTAAGACAAAATCATAGTTTTGGAGGAAGGAACTGAGACACGCTGGTAGGCTGACCTATGTTGTCCTGATGGTTCTGATATTGCCTCCTGGATATCTCTTGTGGCTAAGTAAGAGATTTGCAATTTAAAATGGAGATTATAAAAATTACTTGGACATCTTTCCAAAGCAGTTGGAGATGTGTGAGTGAGAACAGGAGAACAATGGCTAAATCAGCATAGCTCAAGTACCCAGAGCCGTTTTTGAGGCACCTCATTGAGGCATTTCCTAAAGGTGTCACACTTCTCTCAGAATGGCATGGTAGCAGCTAAAAGCTTGGGCATGATCAGGGCATGTTTGAAAGACTTTTTGTGCTGCCAGAAATTAATATTTCCTCTCACCTTCAATTCTGCCTACAAGACCACAATAGAAAAAAATAGTTGAGCCGGAAATAGAACTGTCGTATTGACAAAATTCAGCCTCTGTGGCAATAGTTAGACCACTCTTGGATCAATTTGTCATTTAAATAAATATTCCATTTATTTCATCAGAGTTTTGCTTTAATTACAAGCAGTTTACATGTATTTAATCTTTACTGCCTTTCTGCAAAGTGGGAAAAACAACGCATTAATTCATTTTAGTACAGACACTAAACTGAGCCGCCCTAAGCTATGAGAAGCCCTAACTAGTGACAAAGAAAAGGCCTCAGTGCCAACAGATTGAAGAACAATTACAAAAACCCCCAGAATATAACTTTCTTCATAGACACTACGTACTGCATTCATGTTTCTATTTCAGCTAAATTTATTATCACATAAAAACCTGATTTGAACCACTTCCATTTTCTTTTTGCATAAACAGAAAAGAATCATGCCTATATTATTTTTTCAGCATCTGAAAAAGTGTGCTGGAAATTACAAAGGCTCATGTTGCATCACAATCTTTAGAAAATATTGTGCAATTACTTAGTATCAAAACAAAAACTTACCCCACACTGCCATGAAAACAGCAAAAAATACTGTAGCTCCATTGTCAAAAAGGTGGGTTACCTGAGGGATATATTAATAATGTGATCAACTTGTGATAATAAGGCTTTATTTTCCATTTTCACCTAACAAAATTATAGTGCAGCTGGCCTGACAATCCTGAGGATCCTTCCTTTGACATATGAAATGTACCTGTCAATTGACAGAACTATTTGCCAGCCTGTCCTGACACTGACCCCTGCCAACACCAGGTGTGAGCATAATTTCAGATCCAAAGCAATCATTTTATGGAGTCACGTACAAAGGATGGATCATAAGATAAAGGTTCATGCCAAGGACACTGTAACACATGCACTGAGGACACAACCTCTGGGACTGCAGAATCTCTAAGTGCAAATTTAATTCAAGTGTTTTACAACCCAAACTAAGTTTTGGTAAAAGACAATGCTTGTTAATATTGGCTGAACTTGATCTGTCCTTTCAAGATTTTTATCTACCCAAGCTCACTAAAGACAAGTGCAAAAGGCAAAACTAATGCTTTTACCAGGAAAGCATTTCTATTTGCATAGTTTAAAACATACCTTGGCATAAACACAGCTGTCTGACAGCCTCATGAAGGGACAGTATTTATCACATATAGGACACATTATGATATCCGTAGCTTGGCAGACTTCTTTACTGGAAAAACCAGAAAAAATAAAAATTAATAGTTTGATGCACAATGATCAGTCTTAAAATGGAATGAGGTTTCACTAACATTCAGTTACTTATTCAACAATAGCGTTTCTGTCATTGAAGCCAAGATGTTCATAACTGCGTGTGTATAATTAGTATTTGCTGACTATCTAAGACTTCAGAGTTTACAGTCGTAACTGCAGAACACAGTTCTTCAGGCCCAGCCTAGCAGTATCTCTTTACAATTTCCAGCTTCTCCTTGAGTCAGAAGTGACCTTTGGTAGGAGGAAGGTGAGGATGACTGCAGATAAAGTTAGGATTGACTTATTCTTGTGACTTGCCTTAAGTGTGCAATAAGGTAGAAATGCAGCACTCAGCAGAAGGTCCAGAGGTTCTACATCTGAAGAATGCCTCCCTGCGGCAGATCTTTGGGAAAGGCCTTGAAGAGAGTGAAAATTCCCCACTCTTCTGCTGGCCTGTTACACCAGTAATGAAGGAGTCCTACTTTTTCCCTACTTCATGCTGAGTTGCCAGCACCATCAGCAACTGGATCTGGGCAAGAAGCATTGCCCTCCATCCCAATTCAGGAGCACAAAACAAGGGAAGCTTGACACTAGATGCCTTATAAGAGCCAAGCACAGTCTTTTCCTGAGTATTCATTCAATGGTTCAAAATGAAATAATTAACAATTCACATTAAGATCTCTTAAATTATTCATAATAACGCACAGCTGTAATCTCCCTTATAAAAGTGCGCATGTTACCTGACTTGGCAGTGGTTCAGAGTGGTGACTCCATATAAAAAGACAAACAATCCAATGAAGGCAGCTGGGAAAAGCATCCCCGTGTACCAGCCTAACCAGGCAAAGTACAGCCCAATTTTCTCACCAAAGTACCGTCTGTTTTAAAACACAAAACAGCAAAGTTACCTGTTAATTAGAATAGATCTGCTTAATCTTTCTTGTTAATAGAAAATATATACTTCTATCATATCTGAAGAGCAGATTAGAGAGCAGGGTCAGAATTTCCTGAAGAAAAAGCCTGCAACTAGGCTCACGAATGAGCTTAAAAAGTGAGTTTAAAAATTTACTAACCACAGCTACAGTGAGATGAGTGAAGATCTCAGAAAGGAAACACTGAGTTAATTTTTAAAAGCTAGTTCTTTATGTTTGGGAAGCTGATGGCTTTCTTCCCCTTTTGTCTGTGTAACTGTACTTCCCAAATAATTGCACTGAAATAAGTTTCAACCCTAAAACTGGTATAACAGAAAAAAAAAAAAAAACTTCGGCCGAAATTATTTCTAAGAAATTAATTAATTAGTGGTTATTCTCCAATTTATTTTCATTTGATTATTTCTTTTCTTGGCTCAGTTGCTGGAAAACTAACCTCATGATTCTACCACAGGTGGAAAGTAAAGTGCAAGTGAGGTCTAAAAATATAATTATGTATCACCTTGCACTGATTTATGGCAAGTAGTCTGAATTAATCCTAATTTGTTAGCTATATTGCTTAAACACTAACAACAAAGTTGCCAGGAAGCTCCTATTTGCCACATATTAATTAGCATTTTTCTTCCTCCCAAACACAATCAAACCTTTATTTACGTGTTAAAGAATACATCAAGCTGAATTTATCAGCATAGGAGCAGGCTCATGCATTGTTTGATGGTGTTGTGCATAGTAGGCTGATGATCAGATTAGGCTGCTTCACAAATCAATATGTAATTATTATTCTTACAATTGAGATTTTAGGAGATTATTTGCAAGACTAGTTTTAAAGAATGAGGCAAGATTATATTCTTGCACTTCAGAGACTTTGCAGGCAACTTAAACTTGCATATCAACTGAATTTGAAAATAGCTGCTGATGAAAACCCACTTTTACACTAATGTAATTTCTGATCTGTCCTGAGACAAAGAATGCACTAAGGCAGCACAGCTGGTTCCTTTATGCTACCAGAAAAGATCTTTGGTCAACCTTTCACAGTGAGGAGGAAAAGAACCATGATGGGTTCTAATGCTGGAGGCAGTGGAGAAGAGAAAGAAACACTCTAGAATGGACAAATTTCATCAGTTTTCAAATGGATATAAAAGCTTTCCAGCACGAGCAATATCTGTCTGGGCTGAGCTCATGCTCTGCTGAATGATACTGACCTACACTGATTATCACTTGAGTTTACCAGCCCTGTATGAGCAGTCAAATATTGTCATGTTGTTTTTACTCTTCTGTCATTCAACAGAGACTCAAAATTTACAGGCTAAAGAGGTGGTAAGCTAGCAATAGCATGCTCAGTCCTGACAAGGGCAGCAGGTCTGGCTGTAAAAAGCCACCCTGGAAACTGCTCTTTGAGCCCTGACTAACAGTGTCAGTGAACTCTTTCACCTGATTATTTTCCTGACACCTAGGATGTCAAGCTGTGTCTGCTTCACTGAAAAAGCAAGCTCACATTTTGAGCTTGCTTCCACTGAATATTTATGACCTATTTTTCTCCATGTACATAGTTCAAAGTAGTGAAGTAAACCTAACATTCATTAAGATCTATTTTTTCATTTCAATTGCCTACATTCAAGCATGAATGCTTCCTCATTCCACCTCCTTAGCCAACAAACATGCATGACAAACTTCATCTCCTATCCTGCTGAGCCTTTCCGTCTAATGGTGCAAATCATAGCACTCTTTTTTTGATCTAGAGATTAAACAGCTTTGTCCTAGATGAAGACCCAAGCAATGTTCAGTGTGTGCATAAAGAAGAATGAACATGATGGAGAACAACCCAAATCTCTGCAATGTAAGGAAAAGGCATGTGAGGCCATTTGTGAGCCTGGTATTAAAAATAAGTGCAGAATGTTGACACTACTTTGATACATACCAGTTTAAATACAGACAAACAGCCTCAATTTTCCACTATTGCCCTTTACTTCACAGCTGGTATTCCACAGGCTGTACTACTGTAATTTGCATCAGGATTAAGTTAACATTTCATTTCTTCTGACCCCGTGGTTAGTGTATTTTTTCTGTAAGTCTCTGCTCAAATACTAATAGGTTGAGTGCTATAGAACCAACTATGGCTGTTACAAGGTCTTTGTGCCATATTCAGACCAGTTCCACATTTATTCCAATCCATAATGGGGCTAGCCTAGACTGTTATGACCCTTGGGAAATGAAGATGGTTTAGTTTTTTTTCCCTTCAATTTGCACCAAACATGAGGAACAAGCTCTTTGTTTCTTCTGTGTCACTATATATGGAACAGAAATTTCATATAGCTCTCCACAGTGATGGCAGTTCTCTTACCTGCATGCTGGCACTTTATCCAGAACTCAGTAATGTACATGAAGAACTCCAGGGATTTTTTTTTCTAGGGTGCATCACTGTGCATTACTTATGCCTAAATGTCACCTGTCATCACTCTCCTCATTGAAGGCCTCTTTGAAGTTTTTCAGCCTTGATAACATTTGTTAATCTTGCTAACTTATTACTATCCAATTTTTCAGATCATTAATAAGAACAGAAAAAACCGTTTTGTGTCTTTGATGGTTCTCCCACAGAAAATTTCCTCCACACTTAACCTAACAGGCAGAGACATAAAAAAACCCCAAGCACCTAGCAGAATAATGCATCTTGCTTATCCTCATATAAGCTGTACCATTAGAAAAAAAATAGTTTCAGCTTCTCAATTTTTTGTTAGTGTGTATACTAGTCTTCCAACATAATTTACCTTAATGGTGAACAGTTTCTCCCCTCACCCCAGTCCTACGGTAGAACTTTCACTGACTTAGGCTGGGACAAGATTTTAATCTCAGTATTTATCAATAAGGCACATTTTAAAAAAAGTATTAAGCTACAAAGTTTGATTTCAGACCCATAAAATATGATATTGGATTCTTCTGTGTTTAACAACCTTCATTATATAATCTTTTGCTTTCAGGATGCCTAGAAGGAAGTCATGGAGCTAGAATATACACAGGTTTGGACTCAAGCCAAGAACCTGTCTATCTTCATTAATTCTTTTGCAGGTCAGAATGAAATTCTATGCAGAACTTTTTACATCACAGAAACAAGTTGTGAGGGAGTTAGAGCTTTCCAACAGGTGTTTTGGGCACGTCAAGCTCTCATGTTATGTCAGGAGCAATGGGGTGGGGACGAAGGCTTGACAGAAGATTGAAAGGGAGTTGTCAGCTTGCAATCAAGTAATTTAATGTAAACATGGAGTAAAATGCAAGTTACCTGGGCAATACTTTTGCTTTCAGGTTCATTTAGGTACCTTTATAATCACTTTATAAATATAGTTTTCTCTCTCCCTTTTTGTCCTGTAAATAACATGCACAAGCAGCAGCAGAAGCAATTTGTGCACAACCTAGAGGGAAGCAGAAGTGTGAAGGGGGTGATCCAAAGCCTCCAGGAATCACTGCAACTCTTTGCATTGATTTACATGGTCCCAGAGCATATAAATATAGTAAGTCCTGCCTCTTTCCAATTGCTATCAATTCTGAGGAACTTAAATTATTCTTGTAAAGTAACTATGCACACTAAATTCCAACAGAAGTGTAATTAAAATCATGGTACCACATCTGGTGATTAAGAAGAGTGCCTTTGCAATTGTGCCAGGTCTGTGCCTTCATACTGCCATGTATTTCAAAGCAGACTGAAAGCAGAATCATGCAATTCCCCTCAAATGACTTCTTCTCATTTATTTCTAGTGACTAGTATCTCCATAACAGGCAGCTGACAAGATTAAATGAAATCTGGGAGGCACCAAATTGACAGCACCGGAGATGTAAAGCCTCATTTTAACAGCTAAGGAAGAAATAAAACAGCAACAAAGTATGAACAACTTAGCTTACCATTGTGGCAACTTGACTTTAAGGTGGAAATATCATATCTATTAATGAGATGATTAGATTATCTACATCTGATTTACTAATTAGCCTTTCTAAAGCATATAGTAAAGGGGAATGTCAGCTTGCACCAGTAAGTTCTGGCCAGATGTCTGTGGAAGAATTAACATCCAGCCACTCCTTTGTATAGATGGCAACACTACTTCCTTCAAGCACATTCCACATAGCTGTTGGTAGGGGAAAAAAAATAGAAAGTTGCCCCTGCTGCAGAACTGGTACTAAAAAAAGCTTCTGTTTAAAGTATGTGCACTGAGATACTTCTGAGTGAAATGAACACCAGGTCTTGCTGGTGTTACCAGGTCTTCAAGAAAAATCTCCAGCTCACTAGACACGTGAGCTGTTGAGAGTGGCAGCAGAGAGGAAAGATTTGGTACGAGCTAAGGAAATGGGAGGGATCTAACATCTGTGAAGTGAGAAGAAAAAGGCACTCCCTCCCCCTTCCTGTCACCCTTCCTTCAGTGAATTCATTGCAGTCATGGGTGTGCTCCATTCAGCAAATGGCAGGCTGGGTTGGGGCTGCCGCTTTGAACCCTGTGGAGCTCGATGGCTGCTGAGACTCGTGCTGCTGCAAATGCTCAGGGAGCTTCACAGCCCCCCTGCTCCCCTCCTCCTTGGGTAAACAGCTACTCTGAACCACCACAGGACACTCATGACCTCAGCTAGGGGGGCTGCTATTTTGATTGTTTTTTTCCGTGTAAAACTGTTCTAGAAAAATATGGGATGTCACTGTCTGATAAACAGCTAAAGCATCTTACAAAATCTTATACATCAAAACCAGGCTACTCAAGAAGGCTGCTACCAAGGTCCAAAACAATCACATGTCTAACCTTGCTCACTCTGTTACCATTTATTGTCATACTTAAAAAACCTTCCAGATGCCAGATGGTCCATATTCATAAAACAAATTAAACCAAAGCCCAGATATTGGCTCAACAACACTTTCATGAACAAGAAATGTTGATGAAGAACAGTAGCCTTGACCACCATGGACAAATGATTAAAAAACATTATCGAGATGAGTTGTTTATACTGTGATATATCTTATTGTATACTGGGAAACTAAAAAGAAAGAACTTCAGTGTAACTGATGTTTCCTCAGTAAATCAGCAATTTCCATAGTGCAATTTGAGAAAAATTCCATATTTCTGTCCATGCCAGTATATTAAAAAAGAAATAAGAAGCTTTCAAGATTGAATTATGAAGTACAAATACATTACTTTGTTTTCTAAAGCATTTTAAAAATTACATGAATCAGTAAATTTTTAAAAATTATATTTCTCTGTGAACTTCTTCTCTATGGAAGTTTAATACCTTCTGTTTTATGAAAGGGATGGGTTTTATATCAATAACATCTTCTGTCTCCAGGGCCAGCCTCTACAAATCTATCTGGAAACAATTTTGAGGATCATTGAAAGCAAAGGTTTCTATCAGTTACAGGACTCATAAAAGGGGAACTTAATATGTTGGACCAATTGCATGTTCTGTATGACCCTTCCTAATAGCCAATGTATCAATATCTTCAGTGATCCCAATACATCTTAAGACTTTATTAATATGCCCATGTAGCTTCATGTTCCTCTTTTCAAGTAGAAAAAGCCCATTGATGCCAAATAATAGTTCTGCCAACATGATCAGTAAAGGCTCTGGCTCTCTCTATATGCACTAAAAATATGTAAACCTCTACTAGTGCATGCAAGCCTATTTGAAAACACTATTTAATAGGGCGATAAGAATTTGGAGTCATGTCTCAGCTTTCTCACTGTTTCTTCTTTGGAGGCTACTTCCAAGATGAATACAAATCCAGACTGTGGTGATGTGGCTGGGCTGAGTTTAAGGGAGGTGGTACAGGAGGGACTTCCACCCACCTACCACTACTGCTGCTGAACACAGTAGCATACTCAATGACTGAGCTCTGCTCCATGCCATTTGTCAGCATAATTAAATTTCATTCAGGGCTCCTTCTGTGGCCTCATTTTTGAAAAAAAAAAAAAAAAAAAAAAAAAAGAAATGGCCGCTTTGTTAAAAAAAAAAAAAAAAAAAAAAGAAGAAGATCTAGTCAATGGGAGCCTGTTTTTCACCAAAGCCATGCTTGGAGGAGGAGGAACTTCTCCTCCAGTGGGTAGACATGCATTCAAGTCTACCAGCCTCCAAAGATTTATCTCTTCCTTTTTTTCTCTCTTAAATATTCTGCAAACCCTTCACTGGAAGTTACGGTGTCAGAAAACTCCAGAAGGTAACTTCTTTCTTTCAGCTCTTCCTACGTGCTCCTCTATAGATACTGCTTTGAATGTAGCAGCACCATGAATGAAATCAATTCCCATGACCTCAGGATCAGTTTTAAAAAAACACAGGAATTAACTGAGGTTTTCATGGTTTTGTCAGAAGAGAGATAACCTATGCTGAAGCACCTATGAGGTGACCTACTAAAAGTAGGAAAGTCTTACCTCACAAGGTCCAGCGGTTGGTATTTGTACCACACTCCCCAGGAAGCCCAGCACTCATAGAGCAGGTGTCTGTGGTTTTCTGCCCCATGTGTTTTTATTGAATTCTTACTTCTGTAACTTCCCTAAAATACAAAGCTGCACATTAATGAACAATAGCAGAAAAATTAATATCTAAGAAATTTCTCTCACTAGTGGTATGGGTATCACAACTTATGCAAACTCCACACTTGTGCACCAAGAGCTAAATATGACATTAAAAGGACAATTTCCTCTGACTTCAGTTAGATTTGAGATTATTCTTCCTAAGAAATTTGTGATAAATGTTGTTCATGTCAAAGGCTATAAATTGGAGAATCTCAAAGAGAAAACCACAGAATTATATTTTTCCCCTCTGAAAACATACTGATTTATGGTATAAAACCCCAAAACTTTTTACAGAATAGATCCAGAACACCTCTTCTTACTAATCTCTTTTTGCAAGAAAAGAACCCCCCCTTTTTTTTTTTTTCCAAGAAAAAAGCATTATAAATGGGAGAGATGTCAGAGGCAGCAGCAGAATGCAAAAGAGAGTAATAACATTAATAAGATTGAGAATAAATTATTACACAACTAAGAATTCATTTTGCAGGAAATGTCTGCCCATAAGAAAAAAAAAATCTGAGAAAAATACCTCATGAAGAGGAAATGCAGCTTCATAGGAGCCATTACTGAGCAATCGATTCAGACCTAAGAATCAAAAGTATCCAATTATTTACCAATAGGACCAGGAAAACTGCTAAGTAAAAAGCGAAACACATTTTCATAGTAAGATGGCTAAATGAAGTTTGAAGCCCACTGACAGTAAAAGATAAATGTAGAAAATTTCATCTTTTATAGATTTTGATTAACTAAGATATAATACAAGGAAAGACTAGTTCAAATATTAATCATAATCTACCATTTATTATGCCAGAGGTTTAAAGATTAATTTGCTAAATCCATCTTTAGCGTAACTTCAGGGAAATCAGGGACCTCACACCAGGACTGAAGTTTGAACCCATAAATTATGGTCCAAGGAAGCTATTTAGATGAAAGGCTGTATTTCTTGACGGCTGCAAACTTCAGGGAAGATCTTTACATTTTTGAACTGCAGGCCAGAAAAACAACTGAAACTCTTAATTTCCATATGATAACAGCATTGTAAAATATGTTCAGTGTATGTCTTACAAAAGCTGCTGGACTAACACACAGAGCAGGAACAAAACAGGCTACAGTAGTACAAGACCAGAAAATATACTTGAATCTGAACAAAAAGGATTGCTATTCATCACAAAAAAGTAATCATATACCCCACACAGTCAGGCCTTGTCCCTCTTTAATGAGAGCCTCAAGAGAAACAATGAATGATTGCTGAGATGTGGGCACTTTTAACTTGGAAAGTCACCAAAATAGGACTGAACAACTATCAGGCAACGCAAAACTAAATACTGGCACTAACTACCTGAAGGCATTTGAACCTCATTGAGCAAGAGGTGAGGAATCATGATTCCTTTCCTTATTCATGGGGGAATGATAGCAGCAAGAACATAGCAATGAGAAGCATTAAACATAAATAGCATTTTCAGTGATTGCATCAATATCTGCTTGGCAGAATATGCTTTCTTCCAAAGTCTCTGTCAGAAAGGCAAAACCTGTACAGCTGAGATGGGTTTTGCTCTGTGTTCATGGTAGGTACAACACAAGTAGATATGTGAGGGAGCTTGGGATCTTGAGGCAGGCAGGGACCGCACATGTGTGTGTTAAGTGCAACGGCTGTGTACACCACATAAATTCTTCTCTTTCTTCTCTCCCCTCTGTTCACTGTCATTGCTCAGAGCTATTGCTGCCGTCATCTCAGGAGCTGAGGAAGAAACAAGTGAAGTTCTGGGACGCTTCTCTACCTCCTGAGGAAGGATGGAATTTAAACAGCAGAGAAATGAAATAGGCTGCAGAGCTTTATGGGGATTGCCTCTCCATTTGTGATGCTCCAGTCTCTACGTGGCACATGAGCCATATGTGCTCCATATCAGAAGACAGAAGAGGGCATCTTTTCTGTACTCTAGCCCTCCTCTGTCACTGCCTGCTGTCCTGGATCTGCATATGTGTCACTCCAAAAGTCCACTCCACCCACTATTTGAAAGTGATGACAGAGTTATGCATAGCATCCTTTGCACTAAGAACCTCATTGGTGAACTCCTGTTTGACTTACAGCAGCTACAGAGATATAGAACCTTCCATCTCTCTTAGGAACAGACAGGTATCCAGGGAGAAGCCCTACAGGCTGAGGTGTACAGCAGCAGAACTCTTGCCATCCTTCCAAATACATTTTTTTTGTGAAGGACTAAAAGCTTTTCTGCATGAGTCTATCTGCTTCTTCAGGGTCCTTAATCTATACATATTTCTGTCTTAAGTCAGTCTCTTTCCTTGCAGAGGTGATAAATACCATGTGGTGACAGGTCATGTCCCTGTGAAAGCAGCCTGATATTACAGGGAAATGATTAGGTCTTCCAGAGGCAAAGCCCCTACAACAGCAGTAGGTGAGATGTAAACAGTTCACAACTGAGGTGATTAAAAAGGAAGCAAAAGGGTCTGTTATGATCCCAGGCAAACCTCTCTCTCTTTGGTGGGACTTAGCGCCTATATTTAAAAGCAAGTTGCTCAGCACTTACCAATTTTGTTTTTCCCTTCTTCATATTTCACTCTTTGTAAGATATGGTGCACAATTCTACTTCTTGTAGCATTATTGAAGAAAGTATCTTTGTTATGTATGATGAAGCTAAATAAAAACACAAACAAAGGGCATCTCAGGAATATAGTAGCAGGTTTAAAGCAAATATTGGGTTCCATTACTTTCTATAGCACACTAAAAATCTACAGTATGTGAGCAAGTGCAAGGAAGATCAAAGGACACCATATTAAGTGAGATGATTCACCAGATGAGATTATGTCAGAACAGTATTCATTCCTTAACAATTAATTACATGGAGAACTCTGGAGAAAGATCAAATACATTGAAGCATTCATTATGATAAGCATCACTTCTAGATAGTTCACTGAAAACTACAAAATACTTGCACAAAAAAATTGCAAAAGTGTAAGATTTGTAAGTGCAGCTGTAGAAATTCACATTTGATTTCTATTTCAGGCTTCTTTATTCTGCTTTACCATTAAGAGTCAAATGAAAGCATCTACTTGGTAAATCACTTTTACTGAAAATCAAATACTGTGTTAGAAACAGAAAATATTATATATGCCTATATGTTTGGTCCTGGAATTAAAAACAGAGTAGAAAATTAGCTTTAAGAAGCTACTTATGGAGTTATGTATGAATACAGGTTCAATAGTTTACACAGAACTGTGATGAGTCCAGGAAATTGAGGGAAAAAAAAGTCACAAAATACATTGCATTGATTAGATTGGCTGGCATAATATATTTTATATAGATTTCTTAATCCCTATATACATACCAAAGGAAGACAAGATATTTTAGCATATCACCACAATCACTGGAAAAATGCAAACAATATGCGTTTAGAAATAAGGTTTCAAGTTGTTGGTTAAATATTGCTAAAGAAGTCTTACACTTGCTTGAAGTGTGTAGGGCTCAGGATAGACGGTGAAAGTCATTTAGACACTTGAATAAGCAGATAAGTAGATGGAGTTTCTGATTAAGTAGTCCTGCACATATACTGAGGAAACTGTTTTTTAAATGTGGTCCTTATTAACCGACTGAATACAAAGGTTCATATTTTTCAAAATGCTCTGGATAGGAGGTAAGATTGTTTTCTCCTCTGCATTGGTGAAGAGCTAGGGAATTGAATAAGCTGATAAACAGAATAGTAAAATCAGAGAGATGTCATAGAGAGGCTATCCTGTGGGACTGCACTCTAGACACACCTGACTTTAACAGTGATCATCTTAATAGGGATAGGTTTGCATGGATTTATGTTACCTTCTTTTCTTCACAACATGGGAACCACTGCTCAGTTTTTCCCTCAGGTAATTTTACCCAAATGAAAAATTGCTTTTTCAAAATGAATCTTTACCCACAGGAAATCATGCATGGCTCTGAACTGCCACAGTCATTTGGAAAAACAGGCAAGGAGTCTAACTTCTGGACTTTGGGGCTCTGTACGTTCCCAATTTATTATCAAAATTCTCTGCCAAATTGTCCATACAAGACAATATGTAAGTTCCTTATGTCTGGCTTCACAGGCAGATAGTGAAAAAGTTCCCAAAGGAAAGGTAAAAGAAACAAGTTGCTCCAAGAGCACCACAATTAATGAAACCTGGTTTTCTAGAGGTTACTATCTCATGTCTCTTTTTCTACTCCAGCCCACATACTCACAGGTCATTCCTGTGTCCACAATCTACTCAGAACTGTACTTCTGGATTCCTCCCACATCCATACCATTCCCAAAGACCTACTCATGCCCTACAGTACCTACTGAAAGTGATTTAATTTATGCATATTGGCTGACCACTATGTGTCAACCACAATTTATCAACAGGCTGCTACCAAGCAGCGCATACAATTGGTGTGCACTGGCCACTGCCTTTTCTGTATAGGCACAATTTTTGGCCACTATTTAGTTTCAAGCTGCTGATACTCACAAAGCAAATAAGACTGTGCCTATCTTTGAGACAGCTACACCTGTACCAACTTTAGTTGAAAGTAATCAGTATGTAAAATTATAAGTATTAGAAGGATTTTAACAAAAAGGAAATAGTATCATCACATAAGTCTTAATGCTTAAGGAAATTAGATAAAAACCAACCTAAACTATGGCAGCATTATTTCCAGCTGAAGGTCTGTGGCCATTTAAGTAGTGTCAGAAACGTATTAGAAGACAGTAGTAACACAGAAATGAACCACTAGCATTTTTCCCTCCCTGCTCAATTTCCTTTTAATGTCTGACTTTCCTCTCAAATATCTCACCTCCCATAGAGCACTGAATGTTAAAGAATTGTAAAGATAACTTATGAAATCAAAACAGAAGAGTAATTTTCATTCTGACTCAAATGTGAGTAGGATTCAACTGAGAATTGAATCACATTATCTGGGAATCTAGCAACATTGATCCAGGTAATACCAATAACATTAAACTATTATCCTTGTGATATAAGGTTATTTTGCCCAACTGTTATCATGACTATGTCATACTGCAACTACAGATAGCTATTTCAACATCTTTTCTGGACAAGTAGGTTAATAGTTTTTCTGCATTTAGTTACTTCTATTTTCATGAGTCATGATTGAAACAAAGTCAAAAATCAAACATTATGCAGTCTTAAAAAGAAATAAGAACTACTTGTTTAAACAACTACTTTAGTCATTTCATTCATTTGTAAACTTAACAATTGTGTTGTTACAGCTTTTGATCTCACATGGCCTACAAGGAGCAGCCAGATGTGTCTGTGAAGCAGATGTCAAAATCTCAGTATAATAATGGCCATAAAGAACTCTGCCTATTCCAGAACTAGCTGAAACAGTGGTAAAACACATGTTGAGTGTAAGAGCTGCCGAGGTTCTGTCCTGCCCATTCTCGTGCTGGTAAAAGGCACCCAAGGGCAGGAGGGGGAGAAGAAAGGGAGAACTCACCATGACTAGAGTAGGTCAAGAACATGTCTTTCAGTATTTTCCAACATTACGTGTGGAGACATGGATGCAGAAGAGATACCAGAGTTCACCAAAGGTGAAAAAGGAGTGCCAAAATGAGTCCCCTGGATGTCCTGGACTATCCTTAAGGATATCAGTGTTTTGGGATGGAATTGCATGTGGTAAAGGTTAAAAATAATCCTCACCTATTATTTTTTTAAAAAACTCAAATACTGAGATAATGTATTGGAAATTGTCTGTAGAGTAGCCCAAGAAAGAGCAGCATCACCATAACCAAGAGGGTAGGGAGCTCTGACACAGGAAACAAAAATAGGCAGACATGAGTGGGAGGCATTGAAAGGCTGAGAGTGTCTCAAGTAGTTGTAACTATGTGTTACAACATTCCAGTTAGAGGTTGACATAAATTAGGACTATGCCAAGGAGGTTTCAGTTTCTCTCAAAAATCACAAGAGTTGCTCTTGTCAGGTGAGGATTTTGCCGTTCAGTGTAGGATTTATCTCTTTCTACCACCACCTTTCTCTCCCATGTTTTATGGGCATTTCTTCTTCCAAAAAAGATGTGGGTGGTAAATCCATACTCACAGAATAACAACCAAGGTTATTTCATGGTCTACAGCATCGAGTGAGGAATTCAGAGGAGAAAAACATTCTCAGTCTATGGATAATCTCACCCTTCACATTTCAGTTCACAGGGGCCAGAGCTGAAGACATACCCAAACTAGATGTAGATAAACATTCATCAGACATTACTGAGCTATAAACTGCATAAGGCAGAGGCTTTCTAGAGAGCTTTTTAACCCTTGTTGCTTTCACATGGAACAGTTTCCTTAGCTGTTCTGTTTCAGCTGCCCTTGTTAGAATTTCAACATGCACAAGGGTTTAAATATTCATACGAGCTTGTGTTCAGCCTCAGTAAGGGTTTAGGCTTTATTTAGGTGATCGTTCATTGAAGCTTTTGATCACTTTGTCACCTCATTTGTAAGATAAAAAAGAAGTAAGGATTAATAGACTATTATTTTTATTACCTGTGAAGTTAATGTATAGGTAGATAATAAAGCCAGTGATTTGTTCCACAACAGTCATAATCACTAGCCTGGCCATGTAAGACTTATTTGTGTGAACTGTCCTTACTAAAAAGGAAAATCCCTATGAAGATAATGAGAGCACTTCTGGCAGGAAAGGTTCCAGAGTTGATCCTTAATTAAAGTCCCTTTTAAAAATGTCATTGTGGAAATATTGCTCTTACATCCATACTGTAAGCGACATGAAGAGTCGGTGAAGGTTAATTGCTTTGACATTATATTTGTAGCTTTCTTAATTAGACTCTGAACTGGAGATTTCAAACTATCTTTCCATGGATAACAAAGCACAGCAAAGCTAACTGTCATCTAAAGAAGATCCTCAAATTAGTGTGAATTCAACCAAGAACAAACTGCCAATGAATTCCTGTTCATACATTTTCTTTGGTAATTTTGCAGGTTGTACAAACCCCCTAAGGGTAAATTTAGCTCTTGAATCTTTGTACAACACCCATTTGCCAAAAATGAGTTTATTTTTTCAATTTATTTTGAATAGGCAAAAGGCAGGAAAAGGCTATTTTGTGCTGTGCTCATAAGATATACAAGCTGAACACCCATGGTCTAGTTACAAAGCTACAAAGTGAGGTTGTGTGCATGTATGTATCAATGTGTATCTTTGTTCCATGGGATCCCCAGACACCGAAACATTTGATATCTGACACTCAGCATACCAAAGGTATGTTCCATGCAAATGCCTACTGCTGGAAGCAGTAAAAACTAAAAACAGAGATGTTGTCTGAAGTAGTAATCACTATATTAGAAGTGTATTCTTTAGTACAGGAAAAATGCCCAACCTTTTGCGCTCCCAGGTAAACCACTGGTGATAGCTAGCTGTTGTTGGCTGAGGCAATAACAGGTTTCTACCTCATTTAACATCAGCGAAAGAAAATCATCAGCTGTAGTAGAAGCAACAAGATGAGCCTGCAGAATTCCAGTGAGAATATTACCACACGTCCCAGTAGTTTATTTGTTTGAAAATGGGTATATTATTATCCCTTTCTGTTTATTTTCATTTTGCCTGACTTTTAAGGCTGCAGCTGACTTTTTTATTTATCTACAAGAAAATGTTTATTAATGG